GATGACTCTGGGTTTGGCGGTTGCCAGGAGAACGGTACTTGTCTGACTGCATTGTGCCAAGTGTAAAGTTTGGTGGAGGGGGGATTATGGTGTGGGGTTGTTTTTCAGGAGTTGGGCTCGGCCCCTTAGTTCCAGTGAAAGGAACTCTTAATGCTTCAGCAGACCAAGAGATTTTGGACAATTTCATGCTCCCAACTTTGTGGGAACAGTTTGGGGATGGCCCCTTCCTGTTCCAACATGACTGCAAACCAGTGCACAAAGCAAGGTCCATAAAGACATGAATGAGCGAGTTTGGAGTGGAAGAACTTGACTGGCCTGTACAGAGTCCTGACCTCAACCCGATAGAACACGTTTGGGATGAATTAGAGCAGAGACTGCGAGCCAGGCCTTCTTGTCCAACATCAGTCTGACCTCACAAATGCTCTTCTGGAAGAATGGGCAAAAATTCCCATAAACACTCCTATACCTTGTGGAAAGTCTTCACAGAAGAGTTGAAGCTGTTATAGCTGCAAAGGGTGGGCCGACATCATATTACACCCTATGGATTAAGAATGGGATGTCACTCAAGTTCATATGCGTGTGAAAGCAGATGAGCGAATTCTTTTGGCAATATTGTGTATTTAGTTGAAGGTAACTTGAATGTGAATTAATTATCTACAAAGCATCTAAATTGGACTATCCAAAAAAAGTGTTACTCAGTGTGTTAGTATATATACTTCTACCCAGACAGACTGTCAAACTAAATACACTGACTCAAAGTTGCCTTTGTGTGTCTTCATTTTTATCTCAAGTGCCTCACTTAAAAGGGATTTTTGAATTGAAACAAGTCGTTCAGGATGGTTTGATGTAAAATGGTTTATTTTCAAGAAACTTCCTGAGTCTGGCTCTGACTCTGATTTCTTTACAGTACTGTTGTTAGGAACCCAGGGTCATGATATCTACAACAAAATGTATGATGTGTTCAATAACACACTTGTGTTAAGCATTTTAACACATTTTATGTCATATTGTTTTCTGTTTTAACACATTCTGTGTTGAAAGTAACACAAAATATGTTGTCTCTATCTAAACACTCCATTGTGTCAAGTTAGGGATAGAATGTGTTGTTAAAGTTTAGCTGTTTTATTTACTATCCAAAAGAGAAAAAATGAATAAAAAGGGTTTTAGGAGCTTTAGGAACAGGGAGCTTCACTAGGTGGGTCTTCATCAGCTTTCATAACGAAAGCAGCCTTAAATAAGAGGTTTGAGGCTCTTCCAACCAGCTGCACTGCTAGCCTCGACAAAATGTAAGTAGACTTTATTTTTATTTAAAACCACTTTCTCATTTTACTGGAGAGACAGAAAAATAATTTCAGAAAGAAAGTAAATCCAATGATACACATTAAAAAATCTAATTTGGAAAGTACTTAATCCAAACTTTTATACAATATGAAAAGACAAAGATTTTTATTATCATTGAAACAGAACGCATAACCCCAATTTTAAAAGGGTTCTTTAGTAAAGAGACTAAAGTTCTATTTAGAATTCTATTTAGAGTTCTATATAGAGCCATTTCATGCTTAATGGTTCTTTGCATGGTAAAATGGTTCTTCAGCTTGATGGAGAATGTGTTGTATATGGTTCTTCTATTACAATGTCAAGCTTTTAACAATAGAAGAACCCTTTTCGGTGCTTTATAGAAGAGTTTTCAAAAAAAATCTATATGGAGTCATATACAACACATTCTCCATCACTGAAGAACCATTTCACCATGAAAAGAGCTATTCAAGCATGAAACAGTGCTATTCTTTTTAAAAGTATACTTTTAGAATCGATTTTATTTATTTTTATTTAAATAATATCCTTTTTATTTGGATGCAAAATGTACTGCAGTTCTGGATTGACGCACGTGGGTTAATGACTGTAATCTAAGTCTTAGACCATATGACCATGTCTGAACGTTAACATGCTCTTTAATAAACTTCTTGCAGGATCTTCTTTGCAGGAGCGATTGTGTTGCTGTTGACTGTGACGGCAGAAGCCAGGGTTGGGTAAGCAGAAACCTCTCTGACTCTGCCTTTATTGAGATGCCTCAGAGGCCTTCATTACCAGTCTGGTCTAGTCCAGGTGTCAGCAAATAGGTTTGACCTGGCGCCAAATTCTCAGAAGGGGGTGGTGTTAGCATTCAAAAAGCTTTGTGTGTGTCATTGAAAGACAAAACTTGCTTGACAACTAGCACACAAGGCAATGCTGAAGGATGTATTGAAGCATTTTTAATACAACCCTATTTCCAAAAAAGTTGGGATGTTGTGAAAAATGTAAATAAAAACAAAATGCAATGATGTGCAGATCATTTAACCCCTATAATTAATTGAAAATAGTACAAAGACAACATATCAAATGTTGACACTAAGGAATTTTATTGATTTTTGAAAAATGTAAGCCCATTTTGAATTTAATGCTAACAACACGTTCCAAAAAAGTTGGGATGGGGGCAACAAAAGGCTGGTAAGGTTGTGAAATGCTTAAAAAAAACATCTGGTGGTTAATTGGCAGCAGGTCAATAACATGATTGGGTATAAAGTTAGCATCTCCGAGAGGCTGAGTCTTTCAGAAGTAAAGATGAGGAGGGGTTCACCACTCTGTGAAAGACTGCACGATTAAATAGTGCAACAATTCAAGAATAACATTTCTCAACATAAAATAGCCAAGAACTTGTGCTTTTCATCATCTGCAGTACATAATATTAAAAGAAATCTCTGTATGTAAGGGACAAGGCCAAAAACCAGTATTTGCTGGCTGTGATCTTTGGGCCTTCAGAAGGCATTGCATTAAAAACCGCAAATAATGAAAAAAAAATGAGTTTTAGGCCAAAATATTTCCTCACAACTATGTCCCAGGCATCCGGCAGCAAATTAGCAAACATTTTATGAAAATGTACTTTCTGTGATGTTTTATTTTAACACACTTCAGACGTCTGGTTCCTATCAAAACCACTGTAAACCACTCTGACTCTGTACGTTTCTCTAAATGGAGCATCTCACATCAAACCACTCTGATTGACTTTGCTTGCTTCTAATAGATTAAATTATCCAGACATTTTGAACAATTTGTGAAATTTCTGTTTGTTTATGTACTGTAGCTTACACAGCAATGTTTGAGGGATCTGATTGCATATTACTGCACAGTTATTACCAAACGAACCCTGCCGAGCAATAAAGGTGCTTATTTCTGTCTTGGCACTGAAGAAAGGCTGAAAAAGAAGAAAGACTCCTGCTGAAACTGTAAAGGCTGTGCTGCTGTTGCTCCTCTAGAGTTTGACTTTTAACATTTAAGAAACAGGGGGCTTCACTTGCTGCCCTGTAGCGTGAGCTCATGATGATATTGAGTACAGCTGGGATTATGTTTCATCTGGCAATGGCCAGTGTGAGCTGAGTTTAGATCATTCGGTCCAGTATTAGTTAACACTGTTTTCCAGGCTCATTTTTTGTGCCACATACACAAAAAAGATCTTCCTCAAAACAAAGAACATGCACTTTTATAATCTTCAAAAAAACTTCCCCCTGCTTTAGGACTCTAACCTAACATAACCACACCTGTATTAGTGCGAGAACCACTGATAGCTCACACAACATGGGTGGGTGGGACAGAATTCCCACCAGAACTTGATATTTCCCAAGGATTGAATTGTTGGTGTGAAACTGACCCAATGGATAAAAGATGTTAGTAAATCTGAAGACAACAGGAGGGCTGGAGAAACTTATTGAGTCAAAACAACTATATAATAGTAAAATTACTCATATCGAAGGTGTGGATCCAAACAAACTACCAAAGGGTTAAAGAGGAACTCTTTTCCAAAATTCTACATAATTAAATGGTTGAGATGTAAACAAAGTCATTGAGAGCGGTTTGGTGTGAAACGCTCCATTCTAGAGAAACTTGCTGAGTCAGAATTGTTCACAGTGGTGGTGACAGGAACCACTGAAGGGCTGAATGTCTCTAAAAGCTCTCTCATGGGAAGCTACTAGACAAAATGATTGTGAATAAACGGCCTGATGCCTGAGACATTGTTTTATGATAGTCTCACAAAAAGCTTTTGCCATAAAATGTATTTTAAAGATACAAATCGGGCAGAGAGGTATATGCAGAACAGTGTACACTCTCAAAAAACAAAGTTATGAAACTGTCACTGGGGCAGTACCCCTCTTGTCACTGGGGTGGGACCCTCAAGGACCCATCTCAGTACCTTTAGTCAGGGAACATAACTGTACCATAATCTACTGAAATGATATTTTCTGAGTTGTACTGACTCCACACACCCCGTCTCATCTCCAGGCTTTTTACTTTATTGTTCTGTTTTAAAACATTTGGTTATGAAAAGGTACAAATATGAACTTTTCATCTGAGTGAAACTTATTTAGGGTTGACAACCGTACCTTAAAACCACTGTTATACCTTTGAGGGAACATTAACAGACACATGTAGGTTCACTGTTGTAGACATGGTGACCCCTGGTTCCTGTCACCACCACCCCAAACCACTCTGAGTGACTCTGTTTACATCTCAAACGGTGAATTATGTTGACCTCTTTATTAATCCGTAGACTCCCCCTTTAAATGACAGGCACAAACCGCTGTGTCATGTCGCGGACGTGTAAGTCCAAACCTAAAACCCGCATTTCTTCGAGGCTATTCGATCCATTTCATAATCTGCTTCACAAAAGACTAAAAAACTGATTCGTTAGGTAAGAATTGATGCATCATTTGTGTAACTCCTCACTTAGGATGTTTTGAAACAGCCACGACTGGAACCCAGTTCCAGATGACTTTCTCACACCAGCGTTACGGCAAACCACGCCCACCTCGCTAGGATTGGCTAGTAGAGGAGACTCCCGCGCTAGGATTGACTGAAAGCTCATAGCTCGCCGAACCTACTATCCAATCGTAGCGTGCGAGGCGGGGCGTGTCCGAAAACGGGTGGGAAAAACAACGTGTTGAGTGTTTTTATGTAAGACGGTTACATGAACAGGGAGCTTCACTGGGTGGGTCTTCATCAGCTTTCATAACAAAAGCGGCCTTAAATAAGAGGCTGGAGGCTCTTCGCATTTCATCCGACCAGCTGCACTGCTAGCCTCGACAAAATGTAAGTAGACTTTATTTTTATTTAAAACCACTTTCTCATTTTACTGGAGAGACAGAAAAATAATTTCAATTTAAGTAAAAAAGTAAATCCAATGATACACATTAAAAAATCTAATTTGGAAAGTACTTAATCCAAACTTTTATACAATATGAAAAGACAACGATTTTTATCATCATTGAAACAGAACGCATAACCCCAGTTTTAAAAGGGTTCTTTAGTAAAGAGACTAAAGTTCTATTTAGAATTCTATTTAGAGTTCTATATAGAGCCATTTCATGCTTAATGGTTCTTTGCATGGTAAAATGGTTCTTCAGCTTGATGGAGAATGTGTTGTATATGGTTCTTCTATTACAATGTCAAGCTTTTAACAATAGAAGAACCCTTTTCGGTGCTTTATAGAAGAGTTTTCAAAAAAAATCTATATGGAGTCATATACAACACATTCTCCATCACTGAAGAACCATTTCACCATGAAAAGAGCTATTCAAGCATGAAACAGTGCTATTAGAACTCTACATAGAACCTTTCCCTTCACTAAAGCACTCCTGAAGAACCATCTTTTTAAAAGTATACTTTTAGAATCAATTTTATTTATTTTACATGATAAATACTATACTTTTTACTATAATTTGGAAAGTACTTAATCCAAACTTTTATGCAGTATGAAGATTTTTATCACATCAATGATGGTGATCATTGAAACAGAATGCATAACCCCAATTTTAAAAGGGTTCTTTGGTTCTATTTAGAATTCTATTTAGAATTCTATAAAGAGCCATTTCATGCATGTTATCTGCATGGTAAAATGGTTCTTCAGATTGATGGAGAATGTGTTGTATATGGTTCTCTGTAGTACCAAAATGAGTTCTTTATTTATTACAATGTGAAGCTAGTAACAACAGACGAACCTCTTTTTGGTGCTTTATAGAGCAATTTTCAAAAAAGGTTCTATATAGTATCACTGATACTCCTATGTTCATCTTTGAAACAGAATGCATAACCCCACTCTTAAAAAGCGTTCTTTAGTAAAGAGACTGGTTCTATTTAGAACCATGAGTTCTTTATAGAGCCATTTCATGCTTAATGGTTCTTTGCATGGTAAATTTGTTGTTCAGCTTGATGGAGAATGTGTTGTATATGGTTCCATGTAGTAGCAAAATGAGTTCTTCTATTACAATGTCAAGCTTTTAACAATAGAAGAACTCTTTTCGGTGCTTTATTGAAGAGTTTTCAAAAAAAGTCTATATGGAGTCATATACAACACATTCTCCATCACTGAAGAACCATTTCACCATGAAAAGAACTATTCAAGCATGAAACAGTGCTATTAGAACTCTACATAGAACCTTTCCCTTCACTAAAGCACTCCTGAAGAACCATCTTTTTAAAAGTATACTTTTAGAATCAATGTTATTTATTTTTATTTAAATACTATCCTTTTTATTTGGATGCAAAATGTACTGCAATTCTGGATTGACGCACGTGGGTTAATGACTGTAATCTAAGTCTTAGACCATATGACCATGTCTGAACGTTAACATGCTCTTTAATAAACTTCTTGCAGGATCTTCTTTGCAGGAGCGATTGTGTTGCTGTTGACTGTGACGGCAGAAGCCAGGGTTGGGTAAGCAGAAACCTCTCTGACTCTGCCTTTATTGAGATGCCTCAGAGGCCTTCATTACCAGTCTGGTCTAGTCCAGGGGTCATCAAATAGGTTTGACCTGGCGCCAAATTCTCAGAAGGGGGTGGTGTTAGCATTCAAAAAGCTTTGTGCGTGTTGTTGAAAGACAAAACTTGCTTGAACCCACACAAGGCAATGCTGAAGGATGTATTGAAGCATTCAGAGTAAAAATGCAACATTAAAAGTGTTGCCACACATGCTAGTAACCCTAGTGGAACAGTAAATGTACACCATAGTTAGTTTAGTGCTAACATTGCAAATCCCATAGAGGCACTAAAGGGAGCATTATTCTTGCGGTGGTCCAAATGAGAAAAATGTACCCTGATAAGTAACAAAGAAAGAACAATATGTCTTTGTCTCTTACCAAAATGCTTAATCAACATGTTTGATCTGCAATGAAACAATTGCTATCATAAACAGTAGGCATCAAGCGGGCTCATGTAGCCTTTTTGACACACTGTACAGCCCACCTGCTTGTCCCCAGTATGTGCTTATGTACCCCTTTTAGTTTTTCAGGTATATCGCATGGCACAAATTATGAATAGGTGTTATAAATATAGGTTATACATTTCTACATTTTTATTTCAATCATACTGTGGTAAATTACCCAGCAACCTTTTGGTTTAAGCTTGCTTTGGGCTTTGGGTTCAAGGGTTTAAGGTTATGGTTAAGTCTAGGGCTTAAAGATTAGTCGTTTTTGTATCAAAATCACCATTTGAAAGAAGGCAATTTTCTAATTGCAAGAACTGCAGCTTTAATTATAGCCTACATTACTAACAACATTTTTAGTTTTCAAAAGCAACTAAACACCCGAGTGCTGTGACATCACAACTATAACTAATTGGTGGCTAGGCGTACAATGTCAAACGTCCAAGTCTCAAGCCAGACAAAGTGAATACTGTCGTCTTCCTGGCCAAAATAACAGGTCTGGACCTTAATTTAAACTAAATAATCGTAATCTATATTGTGGTCACAATATTAATCAGAAAAATTGCAATTAGATATTTTCCCCAAAGTATTCAGCCCTAGTAAGACAGGTTAATGAGAATATAGAGTTATGAGGCCAAACAGCATAAATAGAGTAAAAACACAACAGAAACTTATTCAGTCATTGTGTTTAAAAGTACACTGTGTAGCAATGCTGTTAGAAGATCACACACTGCTACCATCCTAATATAATGCTACATCTCAACTTTTACTCCTCAGCAACTCTACTGAACCCAACTCCTTCTGCACGGAGACCAAGGAGTGCTTGCTGTTTGATTTGATTTGCGAGGGAGACGGATATGAGGTGAGTTCCAGAACAGATGTTTAGAAAACTACAGACCGGAGGACAATAAGTCTTACTGTCCTCCCCCACTCACTCACTCACTCACTCACTCACATTTAGCAGGCTCCACCAGGGGGGCACAATAAGCAATCAAAAGCTTTTGATGCTTAATAAGACTTTGTATCAGTGATACCATCCTTGTTCATAGGTGCGCCACTATGAGGCTTCCAAATGGGTGGCCACTGAGGTCAACTCTCACTTCATGGAGTTTGCAGTAATGAGAGCTTTCAGAAAACTTTTCAAGTATATCACTGGTGAAAATGAAGCAGGTGAGTTCACAAACTCAATTTTGTGAATGGCTGTCGAGAGAGATAGAGACAGAGAGAGGGAGAGAGAGACAGTGGTAATTGTGGGCGATGTACCAAAGATATAACATGACGATACATGATAAATTATCACGATATTTAGTTTTGTGCTCAAATGGGAATGGACGAAATGCACCAGCAAAACTGTAGTGCCTGTAGTGTTTTAATTCAGAAGTAAAAGGAGGAAAATCAAACAACTTGTCAAAATAAATTAAGAAAATAAGGTGATGTCATACTGAACATCCAATTAGATACTATATGCAGATTATGTACTTACTACTCTCTGGTTGTTGTTTTTCACAGGCTCTCTATATGTGAGAGCTACATATACACAGAAAAAACGTATCATTATGTAATCACAGTAATGATAACAGAGACATTTTACACGGTATATCTTTTCCTGCACATATATTACTAAGCTTTTTTTTATATTTGTAGGTGTTAAGATTGAAATGACAGCCCCAGTAATCACTAAAGTGAAAGAGGACGGGGGCATGTTGGACCAATCAGTCTACATTCTCAGCTTTCTCTTGCCCTCTGCCTACCAGAACTCTGCTCCCGAACCCACTGACAGCACAGTGAGTCTACAGGACAAAATCACAGCACTCACTCTAAAATTCTTCAGTAATATGACACTTTCCTAATGATTTCATCTGCTTTATTTATCAGGTGTATCTCACTGACATGCCGGACATGAATGTGTATGTGAAGACTTATGGAGGCTGGACGGTATCGGCGACAGCTAAATTTTATTCGTATCGCCTGAAACAGTTGCTGGACAAAGTCAAAGCCTCTTACAACAAAGAGTACCATTACAATGTCGGCTATAACAGGTACTGGGGTCATAATCAGTTTTTTTTCCACCGTTCAGAATCATTTGTAAAGGGGCTGTATTCTGTTTTTCTTGGAATTTAGTTTTTTCCCCGAGATTCATTAATGAACGTTGTCTGGTTTTATGTACTACAAACTACAAACAATGACAGACCAGGGGACAATAACTCCTACTCTCCTCACTCACATACTCACTCAAACACATTTGGCAGGCTAAAACGTCTCCACAAGGAGGCACCATTAGCAATCAAAGGCATAAGTTCATTTTCCCATTTTCCACCCTCTCTTCATCCCTTAGAAATGAGGCAGGTGTTACAGTGCCTTTAAGACTGATATATGTAAATTACCTCTGTTTTGCATGGCTGTCTTATATTGTGCCCATTCAAAAAGCAGTCCAGGATGAAACATAATAATAGAAAATAAACAAAAATGATTCATATTGAAGTTATAAGGAGTTATAACTTCAATATGGATCATTTTTGCTTATTTTGTATCTATTTACTGTACTGTAGGGAGTAAATTGTATGTTTTTAAATTTTTGCAGTGCTTACAATATATCTCAGAAAAAGCGAGGAAAATGCTGTTTTGCATGTTATACACCCCTTAAAAGTAATATGTGACTGGAGGAACTGTTTACATAGTAGTGGAAAGTAAACAAATAAAACAATACACATTTTTATATTTAAAAATAGCCCACGACCTTACTTTGCCCCAGAATGAGCGCACACTCTTCTAAAAATCACTTATTCACATAATAACAGGCCCTAAGAAACAACAACTTCAGAATGATTTAATACTTAATGTTAATAATTACATTGTAGTTACATAAGCATTAATAAATGGTACCATTTGAAATATAGACTATATGACAAATTAATAATTATTTTGAATTGTAGAAATTTGATCATTAATTATAGTTTGTTTAATTATAGTTATTTTACTTAGTTGATACTCATAACTCAAACCATGTATAGCCTGAAGTAGTAAGCATTTTCTTATTTACATTTCATAATAATTTTGATTGAATTGTCTATGTTCTGTTTTAAATGATCAGTGTTTAGTAGGTATTTACTATCTTTGTGATGCATAAACTTTTCAGCGATTAGTTAACCATTATTAACCCCTTAAATGCCCAGGTCCTGCCGGCGGGCCTAAAGTTTTACTACACGCTTCAATAACTGAAGAACAGCTCAGCCACACTCTTAAAAAAATGGTTCTTCAAGGGTTCTTTAGTAAAGAAAATGGTTCTATATAGAACAACGAATACTCAAAGAACCCTCTGCATGTTTAAAGGGTTCTTTACATCATTAAATATTTTTTCTTCAGATTGATAAAGAATGTGTTGGATATGGTTCTAAGGGTTCTTCTTTTGGTACGATGTCAATCTTGCAACAATGGAAGAACCAAAAAGTTTCTATATAGAACCGTCTACAGCACATTCTCCATCAATCTGAAGAACGCTTTCACAACGCAAAGAACCCTTTAATCATGCAAGGAGTCCTTTGAGTGTTCATGGTCTGTATAAAACCATGCTCTCTATTAAAGAACCCTTGAAAAACCATAATTTTAAGTGTGCTGCTGAATCCCTGTAGTTACTGAAAAATAAGCCTTAGTATGTAATATGCCTGTGATTTTAAGGGGTTAAGTAGTTAAACATACTTTGAACATGAAAACATTAGGGCCCCGTAATAAAGATGTGACTTTATAATGTATTTATGCAGACATATTGTTTTGTTATTGGAATAATAATACAGTGAATGGGCTGATAGAATTGGTGCAAAATTTGCTGGGAAAAAATTAATTCCCATTAAGTTAAGTATGTTTTTCCATCTCCTAAAAAGTTACCATTTTGGAGATAAGGTTTTTGAAGACAAGGTTTTTTCTGATGGCAACGAATTATTAATAATCATTCAAAAACAATTAAAGAGGGTTTACATTGCTGTTTATATTGGCCACTTTTACTGAATGTCATCATAATCATTATTGATTAATGATTCATTAAAAAGTCATGTAATTTCCCAAATTGATGCAGTAGAATTGCTACTTTCAGATCAAAGCATCACAACGCATCAATAGGCATACACACTTAAAAATGATGGTTCTTTAAGGGTTCTTTAGTAAAGACAATGGTTCTATATACAATGGTTCTGTGTTTGGATATGTTTTCAGTCCAATGAAGCTGATGAACAGACATAATGAGGTGTGGTACGTGGTTGAAGGAACGCCTGTGTGTTCCGCATCTGAGTAATGTTCCACTTCTTCCTGGTCTGAGGTAAAGCAGGACCCGTCTCACAAACCTTTTGTTTCTGTACAGCATTGAAAAATGAGTGAAGAGTTTTACATGAGAAGCTCAATCCTGATTTATTTATTTATTTTCCATTTCAGATGTATGGCAAGCTGCAGAGCGCTCCTCTACAGACCTGTAAAGCAAGTCGGCTTACTTCTGCGAACTTTGTTGAAAGACCCTAGAAGTCTTGTCACACTTTCTACTATTTGATAACCCACTAATATCTTTATGACACTTTTTCTATGCAACTGACTATGCAACATTTGCTAAATAAATCAATAATTAAAACAGGTGTGTCATGTTTCATTTTTCATTCGTTTTAAATTCTAAACTGTTCAATTTGATTTAAGTGAATATAGTGTGACCACAGTATATAATACAATACTGTCTTGGAAGAACAATGACAGCAGGGGTCACTATTTGGCACTGCAGCAGGAGCCTGGCCGCTTCCTATTTCTCCCGTTGTCAAAAGCATGACTGCAAAACACCAGAGGGCGCCCGTGAGAGGGATGAATGGGGATGAATGGAGCTAAACAGCTAAAAACAAAAAATTAAAATAGTTTCTAACCACGTCTCAATGACCTTCCCTTCATTTTAGAAAGTAGAAGGATGTATCACACCAAAAAGCAAAGACAGCAGTATTTTTCCCTTTTTTCTGCAGTAAACGAGTCTTGGGCAAAAAGAAGTCCTTCTGCCCAAAACTGAGTGCTGATTGGTTGGCATTACTACTACTGAGTGATGATTAGTTGGTGAGTAGAGCAGCTGATTGACTGAGTGAAGTGGCTCGTGCTCACTGACATCATGAACAGACAATCAAAATCATGACTTACAAGAAATATTACTGTTTTTTAAAATTATTATTATTATTCTGACCCTCTAAGCTTCACATATGAGAAGACTGAGTGAGAACTGATTGTCCTTTCTGCAGTCTGTTGATTCTGACATTATGGTATAGCACACACTCACACACACACACTCATGAAACTATTCAGATCCAGCCTGCATCTACCTACCCTGCCACAATGGTGGATCACCCATAAGACACAGACCAAGCTGCTAACCACCATAACGTATTCCCCATAGAGGGCGCTGTTGATTAAGCAATCAGCTCACTCCAGACATCCTTCTGCTTGAGGTAAGTGGGGAAAAAAATGGAGTTCATTTTTGTTCACTGTAAAGGACGTTGGTCTGATATGAAAATCATGTGTACCCCTTTTAATTTTGTGCAAATCTGTTTTATTTTGTTGACCTGTCCTCCAGATCGAACTACTTTGCTTAACAGGTGTCTAAACTTAGGCGCAGGCAATAAAAAATATATCATGATACTTTGAGACACGTTCATGATACACAATATGCATCACGATATTTAGTTTTTCTGAACAGACAAAATAGAACCTGTGTAGTCTATAAAAAAACCCTATAATAAAAATAAGAAACTTGCAGCTACAGTGATTTTACAAGCTGGACTGCACTGAATCCAGTTGATCCAGGAGATATTATAATATATTACCAGTTATGGGAGAGTAGCTAAATAGTGTGCTACTTTTCATAGTTAGCTACAATTATTTGTAGCTAATAGCTGTAGCGCTACAGTTTTGTGAAATGTAGCTAATAGCTGTAGCACCAACAAATTTTTGTGTAGCTATAGTGATCATTTTCGCTACAATTTTCACTACAGGCTTCAGACAATCCGTGCAAAATCTGAACCACTGAACACGGCCGCTATCCGGGCTGGTGGCGATTGTGCAAACCTGACAATTCGAGCAAACGGTCACATGCTGCCCCCACGCGCTGATCACCCCTTACTAGCAGGCTTAGCTCAGAGGCCGGCAGCCAAATTTTGAAAAGAAAAGCAATTTCAACAAAAATGAAACCACCTTGGGAACCACAACATTTTATGTCCATTTTACCATCTTGGTAAGTATGTCAGTATGTGCTGATGTGTGGGTACAGGCTAAAAATACAAACAAAAACGCAGACTCACTTTGCTCTGCTTTAACCTTTAGCTCAGCTATAGCTGCTTTTCTCGCACCTCAGTCAGGAAACTTCTCTACGAGTTTCTTGTAAAATGTCTTTTAATGTTCGACTTTTACGAGGCTGAAGTCGCGTCTCATTCTCCAGCTTCTCGTTCGAATTGTCCCATTCCACCTTAAGTGGTGCCTGAGGGACCAGATTGTACTGCTGCATCATTTACTGTGGAACTGGAAAATGCGAAAGAGAAGCTGGAGAATGAGAAGCGACTTCAGCTCCGCAACTTGTTTCAGATTAAACATATGAGGAAACCAGCTGGAGTGATTATAAATGCAAATAATCCCGTCCATCTCCAAATTATCTATGTTCGTCTTAAATCTCTCTCTTTGCCGTTTCGTTATCTGAGTTGCTGTGTGTCCAGCAGTCTGCGCTTCAGTCTTCAGCGTTAAAGGTTGGTGAATTAGCAGTTATGTGTTAACTCCAGCGTTTAAGACCGTTTATTATGAAAACTGTGGTAGAACTGTGTGTTATAACGATTTTACAGTAAAGGATGATTATGTTACTTTACCTAAAAATCTAGTTCTGTTGTGGAGTCGCAACAGCTCTGCAGCAGTGGAGAGATTATTCAGGCCTGATTCTCACCCCAAACAGAACCAAGGTCACTGCTGAGGATTTTGAGGCTGTTGTTTAACAAAGGACTCTGAATGTCATGTCTGTACAGATCTTGCTGAAATGTTTAAACTGGAGCAGTTTTATTTCAATTTTACTTTAAATTTTTGTTGGATATCACGCTTTTGGTTGTGTAAGTTTGATTGTTGGTTACACTTAATCTTACTTTTTGGTGATCTTTTTGTGTATTTGCAGCTATGCTGAATAAAGAGTTACAAGATCAATTGGCAGCCCAGTTGTGGAATCACCTTTTACTGCACTTTTGCTTGGACACATTGAATGAAATAGGGTTTGCTCAAAGAAAAATAAATGACAAAGTGCAGAAACTAAGAACAAAAGAGTTCACATTGCATTCTGAATCATGTACTTCGCTATTGTTCGCACTATCAGAAATAAGGAACTCCATATCAAATCTGTTAGAATAGGTATCTGTTCACCACGTCAAGTCATCTCGTTCTGAATAATCTGTCACCCTTGAACTGCTTTATCTCTTTTGACGTCAGGCGTCTTATAATCCAGATCACCTAAACTGGCTGCCTTGGTATGCCAGTTTTATTGCCAATGTCAAAGGTGGTGCTACAGTTTAGTGTTTCACAATTAATCACTAACACTAATCAGCAGAAACAGCGATTATTACTATGGAAAATACTGATTATAGTGTAAGAAGTCATGTACCATACATTGTGTTCAAGAAGCTCCAGTAACACTGGTGTTACAGTTTCTCAAAAGTTTGGAATCATTTATCATATTTACTTTTTGTACAATAACTGTACAATGATAACTCGCACAAAGTAGATGCAAATATTAAAAATGAAACAATAAGAGATACACCAGATGGCCAAAAGTATGTGGACACCTGACCGTCACACCTATATGAGCTCGTTGGACATCTCATTCCAAAACCATGGGCATTAATATGGAGTTGCTCCCACCACCCCTTTACGCCTATAACAGCCTCCACTCTTCTAGGAAGACCTTGGAGTGTCTCTGTGAGAATTTGTGGCCATTCACTGAACAGAGCATTTGTAGGCCATGTTGGATGAGAAGTTTATTCCAATGGTGTTCAGTGGGGTTGAGGTGTAAACCACTGGAGCTTCTCCACACGAAACTCATCAAACCTCATTGTGCACTGAGGTACAGTTATGGTGGAACAGGAAAGGGCCTTTCACAAACTGTTGCCTCCAAGTTGGAAGCATATAAATGTCTAAAACGTATTTGTGTGCTGTAGCACTAACATTATTCCTCCTCCACCAAACTGTCTAGTACTATTGGCACTGTGCATTTACCAAACACAATTTGTTTAAACTGAGGGGCTAATAGATAGCTAACAGGCTAAAGTGCATTCATTATTAGTGGTTGGCTTTTAACTGAAGCATTTTTTATGTTGTCACCATTTCATAAAAGCAAAAAGCCACTTGAGGTTGTGCAGTAAAATGATTTTCTCATGAGTAAAGGGATTTTACTCTGCCTTACACCACCCCTTACACATACAATCACAGTAATGCAAAGGCTCCTGTGTCCCTCTTTCATCTAACGATACTGTCGGGGATCAATGCAAACAGCCTAACAGTCCTTTCACAGCACAGTGATTAGGCACATTAATACAGATTTAAATTGGGGTGGTCATGGGTGTGCTTATATGCTCACAGTAATTTTTTTCTTAAGTTGTCTGCCTTGAGATTTGATCACCAAATTTAAATTTTTAGGCATTCTGAATATTAATGTCGTTCCATTTTCTTAAACTTTTTCTGCAGTGGCCAGTAAACTAGCGTATCAAATCAAATAGTCAAACATTTTCCCCCCAAACCGCTGTTATCAGATTAACCAGGACACTGTTGGCTCTTTGTATGTGATTCTGTGTTGAGCTGCTAGTGAGCAATGATGGATGAAAGAGGAGGGGTGAGAAACAAAAAAACACTTTTATGAATGTTGCCATGCTTGCTCACCTACAAAGACAAAAAAACCACTTCCATGTATTGTATTCCATGTATTCCATCGACGTCTTTGAAGAAAAATACACGGTGCAAAAAACTGAGGGCCTCCAAAACAGGCAGAAATGGCATTTTGTGGCTACTGTGAAAAGGGGTTAAAATTTCATTGTTGATGTTCTACATCACAGCTTTTTCACAGCTTTCAATTATTATCTGAAACCTGTGAATTTTGCACAAGAATAGCATTTTACAATCATTTTCTTAGGTAGAGGCTTTGTATAAGCCTATTAGGCTTTTTTCGCCTCTCTCTGCACTGCATATTCTGTTATCTTTGTTTATTTGTGTGCATTTTAAATCATGCAAAAAATAAACTAAACTAATTATTACATGTAAAATTTAACCAGACCAACTTGCACCAATGCAGTGTGCACAGTGATGATTTTTGGAGAATAAGCTTTCATTACGTTAACATTGTAGCAAACTTCATACACCAAACAGGTCTTGCCTGACTGACTACATTTGAGGTAAGAGCAAAAGGTCTATAAATTCCTTTTATATATTGTTTTGACATCATTGTAAACTTTGTTTACTTTTGAATGGTTGTATGTGTGACATCTACAGTCACCTTCTCTACAGTGCTCCTGCTGTATTATGGCATGCTCCAGACTGGAAAGGTGTGCCAAAGGCAGGTTTATTACTGTCAGCATGGAGCAAAGTCCTCCAGCAGGCCTCCACACAGCACCAGCTGTTTGGCGCTCTCTCTTCACCCCCGTTCCCACTCTCCTGTCCCAGGGCATCCACGGCTATGAGTGACAGGTCGGGGCGGTCCATGTACCCCCTCTCCTCATGACCATGAATGTTCCAAGATATCACCAGGAAAACCCACAGCCTATGGCCCCGCACCCCGCTGGGTACGCGCAGGACCTGCCGACACAGGACGGCCCGTCAACATGTAAGTACAGACTCGTGACGAGGACGGACTGCTTTGGCTACATAATGTGCCTGGTGAACTTGTATCATTGTTTTCGTAGTGACTAGCTTTGCTTTGCTCTATTTGGTTTCAATTAGAAGTCAAACGGTCAAGAATTTTAACCTCCAGGTAAATGACTTTATATGACTTGAATATAGGCTTATAAATAAGTTCACTTATATATCAGTCACAGTTAATTTGTGCATAAACTCTAAATCAATGTTGCTTCCATTACCCATCCTTCAAACTGTTGTTATGTATTATTAAAGGAAAACTGACCTTATGTTTAGAAGAATTAGGGTTTTTTCCAGTCACATTTGCTTACAATTACAATTTTGTATCAAGACTGAGTCAATTTAACATGTGCATACATCCCAATCAGTGTTGTTTACATTACTCACCCTTCTTGTTTTCATTCATATTTTTTAAAAGAATAAATTTGCACGTTGACTGAACTAAATCAAATCATGCCGATTGCATAATTAAGCACCAGTTTAGAGTTCAAACAGTCAAGTGATAAGAGACTATTGAGTAAAATGCACTGAAGTGGCGGCAGGCTGGAATTGCCACTCTATCTCTGCTAAATGTGGACCATTCAGGATTGTTCATATTTTATGTTAATTTCCATCAGATAATCAGCTTTTCCACATAATTCAATCTTTGAGATTAAACAAAGTTGTTTAAGTGGTTTGATGTGAAATGGTACCTTGTAGACCAAACTCTTTAAAGTGGTAGTGATAAAAACTAGAGGTTATAATGTCCAAAACCACCAGTGAACCTGCATGTATCTTCTGAGTTATTATATGTGATGTTGATGGTAGTAAAATAGCGATAAATCTGAAAAAAAAATATTGGGAATCTTTGGGGACTATTTTGCCTTGCAACACCCTGCATGTACTTCGCCATGAACATACTTCGTATGTCTAGAGATTTCCCAAGTTGGTGTCAAATATCTGCTTAGACTGGCTTTACATGGTGAAACTTTCATGCAACCAGTTGCACATTGTGAGTTGCCTGGAACATAATTCCTGTGCAACTTGACAGTTACACAAAGCAATTCATAATAATCAAATGAATGCAACTTTCCACTAGTTAGCCAAATTACTAAACATGATAATCACATGATGTGTTTTGGCATTTTGATTGGCTGTTTCATGAAACTTGCTTGCAATAGAGATTCAAGTTGCAGGACGATTTATATAATCTAACACAAGTGTGATTTAGTTTCATGTAGGTTTCGAGCAACTTAAATTGCAAGAAAGTTTCACTGTGTACAGCCAAACGTAGAGTCCAGATATGGAAGTGACAGTCAATGATAGCATCCTGACCTTATTTAAGTCATTTGTTCTGCTATCCCTGATGGAAATGAAATGGTTGTGTTGTCTCTCAGCAGGGGAGCTGAAGGCAGACCCTGATGTGCGTCCGGAGCAGGAGGAGGCATGTCCTGTGTGTGGCGATCGAGTGTCCGGATACCACTATGGGCTCCTGACCTGCGAGAGCTGCAAGGCAAGGCCTGATCACACACACACGCACACACAATAACACTCTCATTTGCTCATCTTAATGCAGTCCAGTCTTATGGTGTCCAGTTTTTGGAATGAAAACCTGCAATCACACCGGCCCTTTGTGGATAAGATTGTACTCGCCTGACTTAAAGTTAACCTGACATCAAAAATGTCCTTTTTTTACCTTGTTGGTAAAAAGGATTGACAGTTAAGCTTTGTGAAATGTGGTAGTTCAGTAGCTTTGGCAATATTAGGGTACATTAGGAGTAACTGGTATTGGTATATAGTAGTGTTGAAGTTTAACAGTAGACTTACTTTCATATGACATCATTTCAGTGTGCAGGATTGTTAGCTTGCTATTTGCACAGATGTAGCAATGTTTATATTTCTTCTTCATAACAAGCCTGTAATTCAGAGGATCCAGCATTTAGTAGGAAATGTACCTAGGAAAAAACGTATGGCGTTTGGAACGTTGTTTACAGCATGGGGCAATTTCCCAAAATCCCATTCATAGAGAAATCTGGCTTAGACTTGAGTTTTCTAATATGGGCATGATGCCAACTACAGAATGACGCACGACTTCAGAGGCCTGTCACATTACGAAAGAAAAATGCATTGATTTCTCACTCATGTTGACTTCAAGGTTTGTTTTCAATTCATCAGCCAGCTGGATGATGGAGTGAGGGGGAGTTTTATTTTCATGGCTGTTCAGAATTGGGTTTTGCTTTTAATTCGTTACTTGTCATTACTTCATTCTTTTCATTTATCCCTATACAATATGTATCATTTTTTAAGTGGGTATATGAAATTTCTTCTCCACAAAGAGTTAAATACGTAGACAAATCCAAATCATGTTAGTTTCCTAGTGGGTGTTCAATATGCATACATATCACAGTTGCATGTTGTGAGTTGCCTGAAGCATAATTTCCACACAACTTGACACAAAGCAATCCATAATTATCAAAAGTGCATGCAACTTTCCACTAGTTAGCCAAATTACTGAATTCAGTGGTTTGAAATTATGTTGTTTGACATGATCACGAAATGTGCTTTTGGCATTTTGATTAGCTGTTTCATGCAACTTAAGTTGCTCGAAACCTACATGAAACTAAATGACACTTGAGTTGCATAATAAAAGCCGTCCCTGTCCTGCAACTCACTTGAATCTCTGTTGCAAGCTAGTTTCATGAAAGTTTCATTGTGTACAGCCAGACTTAGAGTGCAGATATGGAAGTGTCTGTCAATGATAGCATCCTGACCTTACATATCACATAGACTACACCTCTGGTGTCAAACCCTACAGCAGGGGTGGGGAAATGAGGACCAGTGTCCAGCAAATTTGGTGATTTCCCTGCTCTAGCATACCAACTAAACCTGATAATTATCTGCTGAGTTAGATCAGGTGTGCTAGAGCAGGGAAATCACCCAACTGGGAAGGAATCCAGCCTTCCAGGACCGGAGTTCTCCACCCCTGCCCTATAGTTCCAGCCCTAATCTAACAAAACAGATCCAGGTCTAACTAATCGAGGTCTTCTGGAGTACCTGAATATTAGTTGAAGTGAGGAACAGTAGACCTCCAGTTGCAGATTGAGGCATCAATTCAATTCAGTTCAATTCAATCAGAGTGTCAGCTGCAGATGCTTTTAGCAGGAAAGCTTTTCTCTTTATCTTTGGATGAGACAGCAACAAGTGCAAGTGAATGAGTCACATCTCTCTTTTTTTCTCTCTCTCTTTCTCTCTTTGATGCTCTCCAGGGCTTCTTTAAGCGCTCTGTGCAGAATAATAAGCGCTACACCTGCGCTGAGCGGCAGAGCTGCCCTATGGATCCAGCTCAGAGGAAGAGGTGCCCCTACTGCCGCTTCCAGAAGTGCCTTGCTGTGGGCATGAAGAGAGAGGGTGTGCCTCCATTCACACACACACATACACACACATACACATACACACACACACACACACATACATAGTTTGTATTCCTATATTTGTGAGCCTTTGCAATTGCCTTATGTAGTTAAATGCCAAATGCTAGTTGTAGTGAAATGCTGCTGTGCTCTTAATCTTTAACGTAATCAGGTATCTTTTACTTTTGCCAAAAAAAGCTTCAGGTTTGTTGAAAATCCCCAAGTGGAGTGGCTAAATGTCAGCAAAAATGTTCTTGTTTTCATCATCCTGTGATCATCTTGTCCCCACAAAGAGCCAAAAACATGCCCACATGTATACAAGACCAGAACAGTCCCTGGTGTAAAGGATTAACTGGTCACAATTTTAGCATTTAGCCTCTATGATCAAGTGCTGTTATTATTGTTATTCTATTATTTTTTGTGTCTTTTGTTCTCAGTACTCTTCCCTTTTTGAGACTCTTTTCATACTTTTTTCTTGAAATGCATGTTAGTTTTCAGTTAATGTGTGCACCGCAAGCGTGTCAGTGAGCGTTCAGTCATTCTGCATTCAGAGATTGCTCCGGCCCTTATTCCACTTATCTTTGAACCCATAAAACAACAGCAGACTTTGATGGCAGAGATAAAACAGGCTGAAAATGAACTTTACAGAAAGACACAGGAAGGATTTCAATCAGTGAGAAAAAGGACAATTCTAAGAAAGAAGAGGAGAATGTATAGTATGTACAGAGAGTGCATGTTTTTCCTATTTTGGGCCACTCATGACAGAGTCTACAACCAGTATATCAGCTCTAAAATAGGCCTTCAGGCCTCACAGTAGCCTTTTGGTGTGGTGTACACTGTGCCTCAAAGGTGTGAGGTGTGTGTTTTTGTTTTCCAAATGAGCACAATAATTTAACATTTTAAATATGAACCAGGTTTATATAAATGACAATAATAAATAATAATGAATAAATAACATATTATAAATAATCATTTATAAATACATATTTGCAACAACATATGTCTTCACACCAACTTGCTCTTACCAAAGAAGACATTTTGGTGAATGTGAAGTTGCTCTAAGACAAGATGCTGAGAAATTAGTTCATGCTTTCATAATACCTGATTAGACTGCTGTAATGTGTTATCAGCTGGTTGCTCTTAATCAGATCCAACTAGTGCAGAATGCAGCGGTGTGTGTGCTTATCAGGAAAAGAGAGTTTAAGCATCACTGTAAAAAGAAAAAGTCTGCTCAACTTAAAATGTTATAGTAACTGATATAGTAACAAATTCTCCCAGCTACTGTTTCCAGCTCTGCATCTCAGGTAGATGAACAAAACTGAATTTGCTTTTTTTACTCCATTTTCCCACTAGCTAGCACTCCTTCTATCACACAGCCTCATCTGGCATATTTCCCTCTTCATCTGGGTGTGGACAGCTGTGGCATTGCTGGGATTTGAACTCACAAACTCCTGATGTTGGGATGAATTATTAGACAGTTGCACCACATGAGATGATGCCATGCTTTAAAGTAAAACAGCAAATATTTTCTCCAGTGTATTAAACATTTCTGTAAATCTGAGCAGCTTCATGTGTTCCTGGGTGGTGCAGTGGACTAAGCTGTCACCCCAACAAGAGGTTGTGAGTTTGAGCCCCAGTGATGCTGTAGCCATTCGTAAGTGTGTACCCAAGAAAAAAACTGTCTAGCAGGATTGTGTGATGGAAAGAGTCCTGGCTAGTGGGGAAGTTGAGTATAAACAAACAACTTATTTACCTGACTGAGATGCAGAACTACAAAATTAAGAGAACTTTTGACTCAACTAAGAAGTTTGAGTTGTGTGAACTCTGGTGTCCTCAAGTTGAGTTAACTCAAGAAAAGCTGTGTAATCAGTTACTATATCATTTTGAGTTGAGCTAACCTCTCATTTTTTACAGTATACTGACTACAATGATTTGCTTATGACACTTAAAGCTTCAGCATAATTAAGTGATTTAGGCTGTCCAGACATTTCACTCAGCTGAGACAGGCTTACTGCAAACTCCTAGACTCTCTCACAGCTTAGGTGGTGAAAGATTATTTTCTTATATAGCTAGTATTTTATAGTATATATATATATATATATATGTATATAATTTATATATAGTTTTATTTTTATTTAGAGTGTAGTGTTTTACTTATACCCCACCGTGACCCAGAAGGATAAGCGCTTTAGATGATGTATGTATGTATGTTTTACTTATATTTTGGGATAAACCACTTTAAGATATGTAACCAAACTGAATAGTGCTGTATAAATCAAGATTTATTATTTTTATTGTTATTATTATTAGCCGGACATGTTCATAGGCTGCACATGTTCCCTTTATTCAACTCCCTTTGAGTCTTTCAATATTAATAAGCTATAAAGGTCTCTCCAAGTTCTTTCAGTGTGACGAAACTTGTTTTATGAATATATATTTACAGCTGTGAGGGCAGACAGAATGAGGGGTGGACGGAACAAATTTGGACCTCTCTATCGTCGGGACAGGCAGCTCAAACAGCAAAGAGGGGGCTTCCACCAAGCCAGCACTGCCCACTACAGGATCAAACTAGAAGGACCACAAGCACCTTTGCCTGCCCTATCACATGACTTTCACCTGCTGCCCGGCCCTTTCCCAGCGGCACTTGGCCCTGACCCCTTCCACCAGTCACAGCCCATTTCCCCCACAGTCAGCCAACCTGAGCTCCCAGTGGTGTTGGATTGCACCATGGCCAGAGAAAGAGCACTGACTGCTGCAGGCCTTCCCTATGGCGGACTTTACCACCCTGGTTTCCACGGTTACCCTCATGAGAAGAGGGAGATGGCCTATAGCTACAGTTCGGCCTCTGTGACGCCCCTGACCCCAGGTGCAATACACAGTGTTCCCACACCGGTGCTCACGCCCCCTTCCACACACACACCGACGTCCACTCCCACTCTGACCCCCGACCCCCCAGCATCCAGCACAAGCTTCCTGAGCGAGCTGCTGCAGGGCGAGCCAGAGGAGTCACAGGTCAGCGCGCGGGTGGTAGCCAGCCTGCGGAGAGAGCAGGCCAGCCGTGGCAAACATGACCGTCTCAACACCTTCAGTATCATGTGCAAGATGGCTGACCAGACGCTGTTCGGGCTGGTGGAGTGGGCCCGAAACTGCACGCTGTTCAAGGAGCTTAAGGTGCAAGACGGTACAAGTACAAGTACACTACTGTGCTAAAGTCAGAGCACACACTTTGGTTTATTTCATTTCCAGTCAGAATAAAGACAAGTTATTCATTTTTCAGTGTCAGGAAAAAAAGCAAAAATCATATGTTTTTCAGAAAATTACCCAGAAGCCTCCAACACTAAGTAGTAATATGAAATAGTATTTAATTTGTCCACTCTTTACTTTTATGCAGCTACTGCAACTTTAACTCTTCCGTCCTTCCAGTCTTTAAGCCAGTCAGTTACAGCTGTGTACCTTTTTACTGTGTGATGTATGTGTTTCTGAAAATACAACCAACTTCTGAGACTGAACTTGTGGAAAGAAATCCCTGTAGATTTCTTTGGAAAACTAAAAGCAAGTCTACTTAAAAGAATGTAAGCTGTAATAAAGGCAAAGTGGACACAGTAAATTCTGAAAAAAATATTATATTTTACAGATATTATATTTCACAGATTAAATGCTGTGCTGTTTCTGGCTGTCAGGAAGCAAATAGATCACTGCAGCCTTCCAAAGGGTCCACACAATTGAAGAGAGAAGCTAAAGTTGAATCTCTCTAACATCCATGAGGATTTAAGTCTGACCCTAACTGTTCACTCAGTCCATTTCAACCTGAACTACATTTTGGCTATAATTTGTCTTATTTGACATGGGAAGAGGCTCAGCCAATCAGAACAGAGTTAGTTACATATTGTTACTGTTGGACAAAAACATCATATCTTAACTTTCAATGTAAATTAATATCCAAATATTTCATTCTAAATAACTTTGGACCATTTCTGATAAATGATGAAAAACGCCAAAAATGGAGATAAAAGCTTTGTTTACAAAAACAACAATATAGCATTCTTAAAGGCACAGTAACAAAACCTTTCGTTCTAAGGGATAAAATGAGGTGGGAAAGTTTTTATGACTGACTGTTTTTGGTGCATAAAACCTTTACCAGTGCCAGTTTCCTAGACATGTATTAAGCCTAGTCTTGGAGTAAAGAATTTCCAATGGTGATTCAATATTGGCACTGCAGTTTAGTCCAAAATTAGGCTTAATCCTAAATCCATATTTCTAAGTGTGATATCATAGGGTCACTTTACTAAATGAGGGCCAGACAAGAAAACAATTTTCACATTTTACTTCCTTCTACATCCACAGAAACACATGCTTCACACTCTTGTACCTGGTGTGTTGTCTGTACTATATGTCATTACAGTGTGTGATGGCTTGCAGGTGGAGGATCAGATGGTGTTGCTGCAGAGCTGCTGGAGCGAGCTGCTGGTCCTGGACCACCTGTGCCGACAGGTGGCTTATGGGAGAGATGGCAGCATCTACCTGGTTACAGGACAACAGGTCAACACGCATCTATAACTTCACTCCATTTACTGGATTTCATTAAAGTAATAATTCAAAAAACAAGTTTACACAGTTTTCCACTTTATCCCAAATATAGTAGATCAACCAAGATGTGTTTGGACTCATTTAGTTTTGCACTAGAGCTACAAGGCTAATGTAGCTAACAAGTAATGGAAGTTTGTACACTACTGATTGGCATTGTGCTAACTGCATGTCTAGATCATTACACACTTGCCTCGCGTTGTAAGGTAATCTCAATTATACTTACACTTTATGTCCAAAAGTATCCAGACACTCCTAATTAGTGAATTCAGCTACTTTAAAGTGCAGTCCTTGCTGATACAGGTGCTCAACTGTGCACAAAAGTTTGTATAATCTCCATAGAAAAGCATTAATCAATGGAAATAGCCACACGAGTCCCCATGCACAATGCCAAGTGTTGAAAATTATAGTGATTCAGAACTAAAAATTTAGAGTGATTCAGAACTAATCATCCAACATCAGTAGCTGACTTTACTAATGCTTGTGTGGCTGAATGCAATCAAATTCTCACAGCAATGTTCCAACGTCTAGTGTAAAACCTTCCCAGAAGAGTAGAAAGTGTTACTGCAGCAAGGTTACAGGAACAAGCAACCTATTAATACCAGTGATTTCAGAAGAAACACTGGATGAACAGGTGTCTACAAACCTTTGGACATGCTTTCTAAAAATATATCATACAGCTGTCTAAAAAAATGGAGGTACAGACAAAATTCAGGCTTCAGGATGGCTCCTTTTCCTGGCTTTAGTTATGCACCATACTTGTGTTCCTTAGTGGGGTGGAACATCCATTGCTTTTTAGATACATTAGCCTTGTAGCTAACTTCACGCACCAAACCTGCCTTGGCTACATTTTATAAGGGGAGAATTATGTATTTTTAATTTACCATCAATCCATTCCTTTAAGGCCTCGGGATCACACTCCACTCATCCATCCTTCTGCACCCAAGTAACAGTTTCCGATGGTCTGACGTAAAAAATAAGCTGTTTTAAAATCTGAAGTTAATATCTTTCTCCTTTTGCCTCTGTAGATTGAGGTGTCTACAGTGCTGTCCCAGGCTGGGCCGACGTTGAGCAGTCTGGTCTCCAGGGCGCAGGACCTGGTGTCTAAGCTCAGGGCGCTCCAGCTGGACAGACAAGAGTTTGTCTGTCTTAAGTACCTTGTTCTCTTCAACCCAGGTGGGACATTATATGCCTATCAACTGTTTCTGGAGAACCACCATCCATCTGATCTGAATCTTACAGCTAACTATGCTAACTTAACTTCAGCATTGCTGTGCATGTGGTAAATATCCAGAAACAGCCCCCTCTACTCTGGTGTTTTTCTTTTCCAGCTATGGAGGGTCACACTGCCTATTTCAGTACACATACTAATAATTCCTGATGGCATCTTAAGGCCATTCCATTACTGTATTAGCTCAAGTGAAGTTTATTAGATGAATCCTCAGAGTGTCGACTTCAGCAGGAAAACTTGCCAATAAATGATTGTGACCGGAATCATTTTTCTTTTAAAACCCCAAAATGTCTTCCATGTTGACCCCTCCTCCCCTTACCACTTGGGCAATGTAGGTGTAACACATTTCTGAGAAAGTCGAAGCTGGCGATGTCATGTTGCTGTTTTCAGATTTCATTCTCATTTTCTGTGATATGCTTATAACAGCAGTCGCTGGTTTTCAAAGATCTATTTCTCACTGCTACTCTGATAGGCCTCAAACAGTAGCCAGTGACAGTAACAGGGACTGTAACATTGTCGTTTCTGAGGTTTAAATAATATCAGATGTTCGTAATTTTAATCAGGTAGTTCTGACAGTTCTGTGTCTTTTCCAAAGGGTAACAGGCATTTTCAAATTATGTCAAAAAGTGGAAAACGACAAAATGGAGATATGAGGTTTTGTCCCGACAGCAGTGATATATGTTGCTCCAAAACCTTATCATTCAGCATTAATGGTGCCTTCACAGATATGCAGTTCACCAATGCCACGTGCACTACGCACCCCCATACCATCACAGATAATGGTTTTTGAACTGTGTGCTGATAACAAGCCGGATGGTCACTCTCCTTTTCATACAGGAGGACGCGGCGTCCATGAGTTCCAAAAAGACAGCTCACATTTTGATTCTTCATATGACACTTCTCTACTTCACCTCAGTCCATGAGCTTGGGCCCAGAGAAGGCGGCGGTGTTTCTGGATCCTGTTAATATATGATTTCTTTGCATGGTAGTTTTAACCAGTATTTGTGGATTTTCAATCATATCGGAAAAAAAAATTACATATATATACACCGATCAGGCATAACATTATGACCACCTCCTTGTTTCTACGCTCATTGTCCATTTTATCAGCTCCACTTACTATATAGGAGCACTTTGTAGTTCTACAGTTACAGACTGTAGTCCATCTGTTTCTCTGCATACTTTGTTAGCCCCTTTTACCCTGTTCTTCAGTGGTCAGGACCCCCATGGTCCCTCACAGAGCAGGTACTATTTGGGTGGTGGATCATTCTCAGCACTGCAGTAACACTGACATGGTGGTGGTGTAGTGTGTATTAATGTGTGTTGTGCTGGATCAGACACACCAGTGCTACTGACGTTTTTAAATACTGTGTTCACTCACTGTCCACTCTGTTTGACACTCCTACCTTATCAGTCCACCTTGTAGATGTAAAGTCAGAGACGATAGCTCATCTGCTGCTATACAGTTTGTGTTGGTCATCCTCTAGTCCTTCATCAGTGGTCACAGGACGCTGCCCACAGGATGCTGTTGGCTAGATATTTTTGGTTGGTGGACTATTCTCAGTCCAGCAGTGACACTGAGGTGTTTAAAAACTCCAGCAGCACTGCTGTGTCTGATCCACTCGTACCAGCACAACACATACTAACACCACCACCAGTGTCACTGCAGTGCTAAGAATTGCTAGGGCTGCTGCTCGTATGGGGCAGACATTAAAATGTGAATGTGTCTGTGTTACAGATGTGAAGTCTGTGCAGGACCGACAGCAGGTGGAGCGCACGCAGGAGCGGGTGAACAGAGCTCTAATGGAACACACCCTGCAGACTCACCCCGGCCACTCCGACAAGTTCGGCCAGCTGCTGCTCCGGCTGCCTGAAGTGCGCAGCATCAGCCTGCAGGTGGAGGAGTACCTGTATCAACGCCACCTGCTGGGCGACCTGCCCTGCAACTCACTGCTCACCGAAATGCTGCACGCCAAGCACACCTGACACAGCCTTTCTGCAACTTGTTAGAATATTTAAGTGCCTTGCTGTCTTTTAATCCCCCCAGTACTAAAGCACTCAGGACAGCAACCAAACACACATACCGTAGTTTGCAAAAGTCAGAGACCATCCTTCATTGTTTTAACTACCAAGGTAAACGGCCACTAAGTACAGCTCATACATTTTTCTGGATGAGGATATTAGATATAAGAAAATCCACTTGCATAAGAAAGTCAAAGAAAAATAAAACAGGAATTTCCAATACAGGAGTTCAAAATATTATTCGAAACAACAATGAAAGACCTGGTTGACCACAAAAACTGTCCCCCTCTGATAAACAGGACTTAAAGCTTTCATCTTTGAAAGGATCAGATTTTAAAAAAATCCACAGGTGTTTCTGTCCATCCTTCCACTGTGAGAAGACAACTCAACACTATGGGTCTGAAAGGATGTGTGGCTGTCAAGAAGCTCTTACTCCAGTAACACTTTATTCAGAGTGGTCCTTTGTAGTTGATTAATTAACTCTTAAAAGATTATCAGTAACACATCAACATTACAGTGAAGTGGCAGCAGTGAAGCATCTGAATACACTGAAGTAAATATCTTGTAGATGTTCTGCTGATACATTACTTACATTAAGTAGTATTGTAAATATGTTACTTCCATTACACAAAACCCAACCTTCACCCTGGCCCTAATCCTAACCCTAACCTCAACCTCAACCCAGAACCTAACCCTAACCCTCATCCTAAAACCTAATCTTAACCCTCATATGTTTGACAAGTTACTGAAAGTCCGTTGAGTTTGTTTTATCTAAAAAGGACCACTCAAAATAGTGTCACCAAATATCCCTGCAGATTTCTTTGAAAAACATTGTCTCTCAAAAAGAACGGAAGCTGTAATAAAGACAAAACGTGGATACACTAAATACTGAAAAATAGTATATTTAGTTGTTGAGACTTCTGTGTAATTTTCTGCTGAATATGTTTTCTATTTCTTCTTGTACTTAATGGCCATTCTGACTGGAAATTACATAAATTAAGGGTCGTCTCTCACTTTTGGTCACCATCTCTGGTCTTGGAGATTTACCTTCCAACCACAATCTGTTTCAGCTAATTAACGTCTTCAGAAGACCTTGATTGGCTGCATCAGATGCATCAGTGATAGGTGAGCATGTAAAATGCAGGTAGGAGCTGACCTCTGCCAGAAAGTACATTTCCAGAAGAAGGGTTTGTGTCCACTAATCTTCACAGTAAGTGGGAGGACTCAAACACTGCCCTTTGTTAAAAAAAACACCCACTGTACATCCCTCAATCACACACACTCATTACAGACAGTGCAATATTCCTGTAATTAATGTTCATAAGAATGTACTAGAATAAAGTGCATCTGTGAATCAAGTCTGTCTAAATTGATTCCAAACTTGCCGTGAAGCTGATATGATCACAAATGAAGCGAATTTCAAAATAAAAGTAGAAGGTATGCTTAAACACTCGATATGAAACAAACACTGCAAACAGTAATGAACAGGATGATTTAAAAATGATTTTATTCCTCAGATCAGTCGCTCGGACTGACAGATCCGCAATTACGAACAATCGGGGAGGAAAGAAAGACTACCGACATGAACATGGTGACAAAGACAAAAAAGAAAATGGCCAGTATGTTCAATGTGCCTTTTAAAGTATGAAATGAACGTGTGAATCACCACCTCACCAGAACATAAATAATAAAAATCTGAAACTAAACATCAAAGAAAATAATAATAATAGTAATTCCAGCTAGTCCTTAACCAATAAATAAACCAGAACCGACATAACATTCTACAGGAGGATTGCACAGACTCCAGTTTCATCACTATGATAACTTTCATCACTATGATCTCTCATTGGACCAAGACAAGACACAGACACGCGGCTCACACATATGCATTAATTGCCCATTCACTAGACATAGAAACGTATTCAACCACTCCACAAAACAATGATTGCGTTTATATAAAAATATTCACATCTTCACTTCAGATAAGCAAATGGCCTCTTTATTAGCAGGAGGCAGTTTATTCTTTTCATTCTTAGAGCCAGGAGAAAGCAGTTTGGCTGAATCAATTGTTCTAGTGCTTAACAAAGGTTTTTAAGTATGAACAGCCCGAAAGCCCTCTGCGTAAAGAACGACGGGGCAGTTGCATCACGCCCGAAATGAATAAAGCCGATATACATGAAGCTAATTCTCAATTAACAACAACTTAAAGGAAGATTTTTTCAGCTTAAACTCTGTCTGTTGCACCTGTAATGTTTCCCTGTACTTGGAAAAGAACTATAAACACCATTGATTTGGGATTCACCTAAAACAGAAGCCAATGGGCAGTTGCTGAATTATGCAGTAGATGTTCATGAACATTCATGAACAGTTCAGTCAAATGTAACTGTAAATTAAACTGTAAACCTGTATAATTCATTCTTTTAGAGATTAAACTAGTTTTGTGGTAGGCTACTAGCGTAGTGATGTCATTCTTTAATGGGATTGCCCATATTGTGACCTCCAAGTCTAAGCTGGTTTTCTTTAGGGGAGATATGATAATGACGGACATTACATTGATGAATTATATTGATGGACACTTTTCCTCCCAAAGTCACTGGATCTTTTGAATTATAAAGTCTCTAAGGAGCCAAAATATGAATATTGCTACACACTCTACTGTGCACTGAATTGACTGGCTTGCGCTATAATGCACAAAGCCTCTCTTCGCCATATACAAACCATATTCAACAATAAAAAGGATCATTAACAGCACTCATAATATATATTACATAATCATCTGTTTTTTCCTCCTCCAATTTTTTATCCCAGTTACAGCTGAAGAGAAAAAGAATCAGTAATCACAGACTGACTTCATTTTTTTTTTTTTCTTCATTCAATCTTACTGAACTGAAAGAGATAAAAGAACCCATGCAAACCAGCAAGCTTTGTTAAATAAGCAAGTAGCTTTGGCATTAACGGTGTGCAGTTTGAGTAGCTGGTATTGTTGAATAATAGTGATGAAAATTAATAGAAGACTAAACAAGCTCATAATTCAGAGAATCCAGTGTCAGGGGAAAATGCATATAGGACAAAACATATCATTTTTGTAAATGCTGACTGCAGAATGATGCCCGAGGTTTATTTGAGTTGTATGGTAACACATTTTAACCGTTTCTTTATAAAGTTCAGCAGCTGCCCAAAGGCCACTACTATAAATATATTCGAGTCAACAGGTTTTTAGTTCTTTTCTAACTACAAATATCAAATAAACATGTTGAAATTACACTCCATGGTAATAAACTGTAAGCTACAGATGCAGCAGATAGACATTAAGTTGAAAAAGACTGGAGTATTTCCTTTAACATGTTGTACTGCAGGCTTACTTGCATGCTACAGCATGTTAGCGCATGTGATCAGTGTAGATTCAGCAGACAGGGCGTTTTAACCTGAAATGAGAGGAATTTAATCACGTTTCTGTAGATGTGATCTTTATTCGTTTTCTCTCTCCCTTGCGTCTCACTCTCTTTCTCTTTCATGCTCACATACATACCCACACCCGCACAAGCGTGCAGCTCCTAGTGCTGAAGCCACAGGGCAGCTTATTCATACCTTAACAAAGCCTCTCTTCGCCATATACAAATCATAGTCAAAAATGAAAAGAATCATTAACAGCATTCATGATATACATTAAATGATCGTCTTTTTTTTTCTCCTCCAAATTTTTTTTCCAGTTACAGATGAAGAGAGAAAGAATCAGTGACTTCATTTTTTCTCTTCATTCATTCTTAATGAACTGAAAGAGATGAAGCACATGGAGGAAAACCTACATGGGCTGAGTTTTAACCCAGCTCACCTGAGGCCCGAAGGCGAGCGTTGATACTCGGATAAATATGTCAAAAGTAGTATTAAAAAAAACATCCAGATGTCTACAGCTAACTTTAAGTAAGGGCTAGGCAGAGGACAGGGCTGCAGTGTGCACGCTAGAGGCACTCAACACATTGTAGCACGAGCCTTCACTCTTATCGGACAATTAGGCACAGTAGCATGAATAACCATGGCCCTCTTCTCCCCAGTGGAAGATTTCGAAACTCCAGCCCCCTGGACTGACTGGCCATCGACAAAAGACAGTGGGAAGCCCTTGGCTGGCTTGTGCCCTACATTCATTAAGGGGCAATGATAGTCTGGATTCAGCTGTGGTATTTCAAGATTTGAGTTCACTGATGCTATCCAGTGCCCTGGACAGGAAGGACCAGACAGGAAGAAAAACGAGAAGAGAGAGATAAAGGATTAATGTATATAAAAAAAGGAAGGAAAGGGAAGAAGGAAGAGGAAGATTGAAAACGGAGACTAAGCTCCGGCTTAATGGCATGTCCTTAAAGCAGTGTCAGTTTGTCAGCGCCGGGTCCCATTCTGAATAGCCAGAAGGTCACATTCATGATGACTGAATGGGGTCAGGTTGGAAAGGGCAGGGCTGAAATGGGAGAAGTCACTTCATCTACAGCGATTAAATGTCAAACACAGGGTGTTTTGTACAATTCCAGTTGGCCACAGCACCAGAAAAGGTGTTGTCTTGTGACGTTGAAAATGGCTATGGCATTTTTTCCTCTCCATCTGTCCATTTGAACAGATGGATGCGTTCAGCTGGAGCACTGCTGAATCTGAGGGACCACAGATTGTGAGATTTTCGACCACACAATTTAATACTCCTCTTAGAAGTGGTGCACACCCAGCTCCGACTCTGCTCCGGTGCTGAACTGCAGGGGGTAAGGGGGAAAGAAAATTTGGGTATCACTGGCCAGATCAGGCGAGACCCATTTGTTTCATTTGGGGGTTCCAAGCTTCTTAGGTGTCCCTGGACGCTTGCTCTGCCACAGGTGGCCAGGGATGGTGAAGGCGTCCACGCTCATCGACATGGTTTTGGACGGGATTGCGGTAAACTGCTTGCGGTCGGAACTGTACTTGTAGATGGACTCGATCACGGAGGGGCTGATAATCCTTGGGCCGATTCCAGTCAGACGCACCAGCTCTTCTGTCTCTGGGTTCATGGTGTAAACCGCACGGAACTGGCAGCTCGAGTCCCGGAAAAGGATGAGGAAGTGGTTGGCGGTACTCTTCTCCATTTCCTGTGGCAGAGAGATTAAAAGATATGAAACATTAAGAAAACAAAATTTGTGTCAGAATTTTCATACCATGAAAAAGAGTCAATGATTAATTTTATAAGTTACAGTATAATTGAACCACATGAATCTGCTTAACTCAAAAAAATGAAAACCACTCTTTTAAAGTTGTGTGGTAACATGAATTCTATCACTATATAAAAGATGCATGGCAGTTTGTTTATTATTGTACCGCTTTTGTACTGTTGTACTGTTTTTTGTTTTTTTCCTAGCAAGCATGTGAGCTAATTAAAAACAGAATTCAGGTAGGTAAGCACTTAATTTTGAGTCAAACTGAATAAATGCAACAACAGCACTCAGAAGTAGTCACTTTTCTTGCATCTGCATTAAAGTGTTTAAAGAACATTCAATAAACAAGTTGTTTTGGGTGTGCTCCTGCTTGGCAATGATAAAAATGGTAATAATAAAAATCTTCACACTGATCCCTGCAGACAGGATTAGATAATCTGCTTACTGAGGACAAAACATCCATCTTATGTATCCCACACAAAGGACTTGGCCACCAAACTACTACTTTTGCACATGTGCATCAATCAAATAGAGAGAGCAGTCTCATACTTCTGTTTTTAACATAACAGTATGGATAGGTTCCTTCAAAATAGGTTCCTAAATGTTGGTGTGCATCTGAGCTATTCTTGTTTATGTCCAGCGTACAAAATGATAGGAAAAACACAGTACGAAAACACAGTTGTGTAAGAAGTGGCTGCAACAGAGGCAAGTGACTGAAAGGTCTCTCACCTCTATAATCTTGTTTTTCTGCGGTTCATTGACCTTGCCTGCCAAACAGCAGCGGGAGATGGCATTATGGATGATGAACTTGTTGGATTTGAAGCTTGGCTCCTTATACAGTTTGGGTCCTGACACAAAAATCAAGATTAATAACCCATCACATGTGAATACAATTGTAAATCCATTAAAATGTATGTCAAAAATAAATCATTCAATATACTATCATTTATTATAAGCCAAAATACAAAAAAAAGACATGCATCAAGCTGTGATACTGTACCAGTGTACTCTGGGATGGAGGCTGGGGAGGAAATGGTGGATGCATTTTCCCAGTCCCTCTCACCGTTCTGCATGGCCTGGCGGCCTGGGGACATCAGTCTTGATGGAGAATGAGAGCGACTGCAGAGCAGGAAATAAGAGTTAGAAACTGCAGGTGCTTCTGTGTCAGCGGTATTCAGTAAACAGGTTCCTTGCTTTGAGCAGATATAGGCTCAAGGTTGAGATGAAGTAAACACAAGGGAATAGATAGGCAGACAGATATTAGTTGATCAGACTCCAGCTAGCTACCTTGGAGATTTCCTGACGGTAAGTGTCCCATCATTTGCCATGGAGGAAAGGTTATTGGTGGAATGAGAGTACACCCTATTCAGCCTAGAACCTATGGGAAAATATAAACACAAGAATTAGCATTGTAGTGTTATCCGATACTGAAAAGTAAGAAAGTGATAAAACTACTACTGGAAACAAATCGGCTGTGGATCAGAATAAGCTCATTTTTGGTCTATTTAGGCGATTAGTGATTGGCTGATATTCCTTTCATTTGGCTGATTGTGAGAGCCAATCAGTGACGCAAAATACACAAGCCAAGTTTCACAATGAGCACTGAAAGGAAACATTTGTCAGTCTGGCAGTTGTTTTTGTTCCCCTCCACCCACAGTATCAGACTCCCAACAAGTCAATATTATTTGCACAGTTTGAAAAACTAACATGACTCGTGAGGGAAGCAAAGTAAACACCATTTTAACTTTTAACATCATTAACCAGATGCAAACTTGAGACATCATCCATTTTGCCTGGGTATCATGTTTCCACCCCTGGAATTAGCATCAGCCAATTTATGCAAATGCATAATCAGCCTTCAGTCGCACTAAACACTGATCAGGCAATTTCTAGATAAAACCCATTTTGGCAATGGTGAGGGTAAACATTTTACTTAAACTTATTTCGGCAATGCTGCTTACCCATAAATCCTTTAGCTGGGCTGCGGGAGAGAGCAGAGTCATCGTGGAACACCGTTTTGGGCCGCTGTTTCTTGACTCCTCGGACAGTGGTGGGTTTCTGCCGCAGTACTTTGTCCAGGTCCTCCATGATTTTGAGCTGCTGGCGGCGTTCATACTCCTGCCGAGTGAAGTCTCCACGCCGTTGTGGGGTACCCTCAGGCGGAGGGGTGCGTGCTGGGGGCGGGGTGCAAGGTGTCTGGGGTCGGTCCACTCTGTCAGCTGTCCGCAATTCATCCACTGAGCCACTTCGGCTGTGAAAACGACAGAAACTGCTGTTAACACCTTGAAACTCTACATACTGTATGACTTCACTGGTGTAAATTTCCAGTTTATAACTGCATATACAAATTCAGAGTTATGCAAATTGGCGTTCCCACCACATGACAGTAAATAAACAGGTATTTAGGGGGATTTCCAACCTAAACCTATATTTGTTTGACAGAATTCACAATTTTATACTGTTTTCATTAATTTGTGTTCTCTCACTACACGTAGGGATGTTTACAACGGAAGTACTGATGGTTACATTTTTCATTAAGGCCAAAGTGTCCCTTTAAAACTACAGATGCACATATCGCTGCTGTCAGAGCAAAACCTTGTATCTCCAAAATGGAAACTTCACAGGAGAAGGAAAAAACATACTCTGCTTTTAATGTAAGTCAATGGAACCAGAAATTTTTTCCACATAATTTTTGGGCCGTTTCTTTTGGTCCATTCATCATGAAATTTAAAAACGGAAAAATGACAAAAATGGAGATACAAGGTTTTGTTCCGACAGCAGCGATATATAAATTGAGAAAGAAAACATAAGAACTCCTGACACACTGTTATTAATTCTCTAAATAATTCATTAAAAATCTGTTCTTCACTTCCAGTCCTGGAATCACCCCGGCTCCAACAAGTCAAAGTGTAAAGTGGGGGGGGAGAGAGGAAAAAAAAAAAAAATGCAGTGGTCTTTTAGGATTTGAGTGTTTCAAGTACACAGATTTAGAGGATAATTTCAGGTGTATTAGACTTACCTTGCTTCCCTCTCTCTCTCCTGCTCCTGCTTCTTCCTCTTCAGTTCCTCAGCTCTCTTTTGCTGCTTCTCCAGCAATGCAGCTCTCCTCTGAGCCATCTCGTCTTCCGGCCGAGCCTCGTCCTGCTGCGGAAGCACCATCCCAAAATGTTACATCAGTGGTTCTCAACTCAAGACACACTGCAGTTTTGTGTATTCACTGCCTCAACACACCTGATCTAACACATCATCCAGCCCTTCATATGCGGGACAAGGGAATACTGGAAAGTGCGCAAGGCAGTGAGATCCCAGGAATGGAGTTAAAAGCCACTATGTTAGATCATACTACACGTGTGCGCACACGCACACACGCACATGCGCACACACACACACACACACACACACACACACACACACACACACACACACAGCTTTCAATTTCTCCTTTTGCACCAACCTTAAAGAAGAATCCGACTCCAGGCCTCATCTCCGGCTCTGTCAGGTCACTCATAGAGTCAGAGATTGCATCAGGACCGTGGTCAGTATCTTCTCCCTCGAGCCCTCTCAGTGAGGACAGTGAGATTTCTATCAGACTGCCGCGCTTGCCACTAATGGAAGGTGGCTGGACGTCACTTTCAAAGGAGCACTCAGATGGAGCTCCAGAGCTGCCGCCACCAGACAGGTACTCTTTCCTTGTCATGGGTTGACCAGTGGAGCCCCCTTCCAGGTCCAGGCTGAAGATAGTGCGGTCTTCGCTGGAACCGGCCTCCGAATGGTTGTCATCCTCTGGTCGAAGTAGCTGAGAAGCTGGTCGCGATTCACTCTGGCTTGCTGGCGAGCCAATGCTAAAGGAGGATGAGGTCTGGTCACGGTATTGCCATGGGGACACCCTGCGCCGGTGGGGGATGTTGTCCACACTTTGAGGGGCCGTGATAACTCGAGTGAGTGTGGGTGTCTTAAGGTCAGATGACCGTGAGTGGGGCTGGTGGTGTTTGGGGCTTTTGGGGGGTGCAGACTGTGCCCGCCGGTGGGAGCCAGGTGACTTAGGGGGCGTGGCCTGAGCGGTGACCCTGCGGGATGGGGAGGGGGACGAGGAGGCGGAGGTGGGGGGCAATTCACGGGTTGACTCCCTGGATAGTCGTGGAGGTGCTGGAGTGGATGTTTTTGTGCTGGGTGGGATTACCCAGGCTTGGGTGGAAGGTTGGGCCTTCTTCTTCATCAGCTGACTTTGCTGCTCGGATAGCCGTTGCATATCGCTCTGCAGTGAGCTGAGAGCCGCGTTCAGCTTTGATACAGCGTTGTTGTAGTCACCCAGAGGGACTGTGCTCTTTTCTCCCAGTGTACCTGCCACTGGCTTTTCTTTAGGGGCTTGCTGTACCGAGGCTTGCTTTGAGGCATTACCCTCATCCTCCAATAGAGAGCGCTGTTTCTTCTGCTCCTCCTCCTCATCCTGTCGTTCCTCATTCTCCAAGCGTGCTAATCTCTCATCTAGCTCGGCAGAGGAGGAACCGATCTCCCCCTGGCCTCCCTCTTCGGATTCCTCCTTCTTGAGCTGCAAAAAAGCGCTCTTGCCCAGCCTCTGTCGATGCTTGGCGAAGATGGCCTCGATGCGTTTTTTCTGTGCTTCAATGGCCTTGCGTTTCTCCTCCAGCCTGGCGCCCAACTCCGACATCTCACTGCTGAGAGTTGGGCTTTTGCCAGGGCTCTCTTCTGCCTTTTTAGCTGCCCAGGTAGTCATCTGCGGGGCTGCTTGCTCGCTAGGTTTGGGCTCCTCTGGTACTACTTTCTTCTTGCGCTCGGCGAAGCTGGTCATTTTTATTCCACTGTCTGGGGTCTCAGCACCCTGGGGGCGGACAATTCTTGCACCTCCTGCAGGGGTTGCGGGCGTAGAATGCACTTTGGGGAGGTCCTCAGACGCGTCTGAGTCCACGCTCCCATCTCTGAGCACAGAGTCATCGTCTCTTGACCCCTCTGATGTGTGTCTGGTACGGCCAGGCTCACGTGTGACCCCAGATGGCCGGTGCTGCATTCCTGAGTTTGACGGGGCAGAGCAACTGAGGGCTGCTGGGCCTCCGTTGTGTCTGCGGTTGGATGGATCATCTGGCGAGTGCAAGTAGAAGCCGTCGGGCGCCCCATCTGGATGCAGCCGGGGCTCCATTTTGCCCTCATTGTGGATGATCTGCAGGGCCTCCTCAATGGTGGGCAACTCACCTGTCTCGCTCTCATCCAGGCCATTCTCCTCAGCCAGTAGGGGCACCTTTGGGCTCTGGGTGGCCCAGGAGGCACGGTGCGGGCCATTGGGGCCTGAAGGCTTGGTCAGCAGGTGAGTGAGGTCCTCTGGAGGAGTGTATGGGACACGTGTCTTGGGCTGTCCTACGGGATTTAGGTTGTCAGAGCTGACTGAGCGGGTTATCACAGGGTTGCCCATCACTATATCCACATCGCTGTCTAGACCGAAGGGGATGCTGAAGGACACTGCGGAGGACAGAGAGCGACTGCACACACACAGAGAAAGGACAAGTGTTAAAAAATACAACCCAGAGACAGGAACCATCATAAAACAGAAAAATAATGTCAAGAATAAATGATCTTGCCTGGGAGGTTTCTTAGTCGATGTTCGTCCAGCTGCCTCTACATGAGACATTGAGGTAGACTGAGTCAAAGAGCCTGATCCCACAGAGACACAAAACACACAAACACAGAGACTGATGTCAATGGATGAATATACATATGACATATGCACATTGTTGCTGCTATAAGACAACCTTGTACCTCCTTGTACCTTAACTAGAAATGCACTGAAATTTCAAACACCAAACATTTTCTGCTCTAAATTGCCAAAAAGTGGCACTTTCTGTTTTCGGCTGAAGGAGAGAAACGGAGGAAAATTTTGACCAAAAAATACTAAGATAAACAGGCCTACAAAGAAGTGTCAAAACTTTACACTTTACAGACTTTACAAATAATTTGAATGCTAATGAAAATGAGAAATAGGGATTAAAAACACTTATTTCCGTTTGTTTTTCCTGCACCGGTCAGTGCACACAGATTCCAACTATTTAAACATGTTGACTGTGTGGAACTATTTCTCAGTTTCTACAACGGACAATAGACAAGTGATTTGTAAAGTTGAGAGGTTTACTTTTCAGAATTTGTACTGGTCTATTCACCATCAAATGTTTACACAATATAAAAGACAGCTGGCATTAAAATATGGTGTAAAACAAAAAATTTAGATCTTAAGACAGCAACAATATGCATGCAGAACACAAAGACATCCCAGTGACATACAAATACACATCCACAAAACACTGATGGCAAAAACAGTGTAACATGCATAGAGACACAAGATGTTAAGCGAATGACTAGAGAATGTATAGTAGTTTTGTATTTAGCTCACCTGGAGCTGGGGTGATGGGGGAGGAAATCGGCAGAAAGGGCTTTTTAAAGATCGAGGGAGAGCTACTGCAAGAGAGCAGAGGCAAACACTTTTAGCACTTTCAGCACAGACCAAGATAAGAAACAGACACTTTCTAGGTGCGCTGTGTGTTCATGTACCTGTTGCTGCTTCCACCGTTGCCATTGTCAGTCCTACCAGAGGATTCTAAGGAGAGAAATACATATTAGTATAAATTTGTCCAGCCATCCATTCCCTCCAAGATACCATAAATAAAAAGCTGCCCCCAAAGAAACTTGTAGCAGCTTTCAGAAATGAAATACGTAATTTTTAAAAGCAGACTGATGCTTACCAGTCAGCTCTGGGGCCTGCAGGGGCTGAACGAACTCAGGCTTCGAAACCTCAAACCAATATAGGAGCTCTGCCAGAAAGCTCAGTATGTTCACCTGCACAACAGATGATGCTTTATTAGATGAACAAAACTAAAACAAAAGACAGTGTGCAAAACTATAAGAATAAATGTGTAATTTACAGAGAATGCAGGCATTCTCTGTGATTCTAACTGCCAGTAGATCACCAGCTTACTCAAAGGCAGAGAGCAGCAGGTGAGGCTAGGAAAATTCTTATCAGGCACTCAAAATCAGTACTGGCACCCCACCAAGGATGCATGCTCTCCCCACTGCTCTTTTCACTGTACACTAATCACTGCACCTCAATAGATCGCTCTGTCAAAATCTCTAAGTTTGCACACAGCACTAGAGCCATTTGTCTCATCCAAGATGACAAGTCTGGTTCCAGACTGGCGACTGAACAGCTGTTCTTCTGAAGCAGTCATAACATGGAGCTATTGGCGCTCAAAGCATGAGATGACGGAGGACATCAGAAGACTCCCTCCTCAGTCACCCATTCATGGTCTATCCTTACAATAATACGATGGCAGTGGAGTCCTTCAAGTTCCTGGGAACTACAATCACCAAGGACCTGAAGTGGGACTGTACCAGCTGAAGTTCAACCTGCCTCAGAAGCTGTTGGTTCAGTTATACACTGCCATTAGAGTCGGTCGCCCCACCTCCATCACACTCTGGTGCAGCTCTGCCACGAAACATGACATCCACAAACTGCAGCGCATCATCAGGTCTGCAGAAAAGACCTCTGGTACTAATCTACCCACCCTGCTTTATCGCTGACCCATCACACCTGTTTCAGCTCCGCTCCTCAGGCAGATGCTTCAGCCCAATAACCAGTCATTACACGCATGAACAACTGCAAGTAAGCATGTTGAGTTACTTGACACCGTTTTGGACTTAAGCTTTCACATTTTATTCTGTGATTTACAATATTTTAGTCAGTACTGCTACATCTTACCTTGCTGTTGTACTCTGCCTACCTACAAATACGCTTCTCTTTTTATTAACTACTTATTTATGAACATGAGTTTGTGTTTGTCAACAGGAGTGGATGTTTATATGTGTACGATGTGTTTGTATGTGTATGGGTGGTAGAAGTTCTTTTGCCAGCTACTAAAGGTGTAATAATGCATCATTATATCGCAATGCACAACTGTGACGATGTGCGTCGTGAAAGTATGATAATGGATTGTGGAGAATATACATTCTATAGGCCACCTAATGCTACTGCATTAATTGGAACACAAATGTTTGCAATCAACTTATTCCAGCCTTCCTCCTGCCTCCCAGCTCTAGTATTGTTATGATCATCATCTCTTGAATTGAATTTTGGTCAAATACACTGAATCATGAACCCAGCATTGTGAATCAAATCGAATCGCAGGCTGAGTATATTGATACGCTCCTTTCAGCTGCTGTGTAACTGTGAGCTATAGCATTACCGAGATAAACTCCTCATATGGGCAAACAAATTTGACCAATAAAGCTAGATTCTGATTCTGACAAGTCCTTGCACAACACTCAAAATGTTACATTTGTAACTGGTATGATATGTAAATGTTTACATTAATAATCATGTCTGTTGTGATTATGTAAAATAATGTTTATCATTTTTACCTGTCTCACGCTCATATAGGAAGCATAGTGTGTTAACAACAAAAGTTATCTGGATTGGTAACCGGGCACAATACAGTGCTAATTATCAGTTATTATTATCGGCTATGCAGAAATCGCACATCTGTGCACCTCTGAATGAACAGTACCTGTAACTCTGGAGGGCTGTAAAGCATGTCCTCTAACACTAGGTGGCAGCAGCTCTTCAGACAGCTGTCTGAGAACTCCCGAATGAGCTGTAGATTGTACAGACTATCAGCCAGAGACATTGCATCCTTCATGCAAACATCTGAGAGAGAGAGAGAGAGAGAGAGAGAGAGAGAGAGAGAGAGAGAGAGAGATCACCTTAACGATACAAGGCAACAAACGAGGAACGACGTTCTTGCCTGGAGCTTGAACTTTGAAGCTTGTGAATGTGAATGACTTGGAAGATTGCTTTATTTACTGTATTGCTAACAATACATACTGATAAAATTAGATAGAAGATTATAAGATGATAAAGCATGTACAAGGAATAAGTACAGTTTACTGATTGGACATGAAAATACAGCAGGGGAAAGTTATCAATTCTTCACAAGCATTGTTTGGTGTGTGTTTCTACCTTCTAGGCGCAGCAGGTCGGGGCAGTAGTAGTGTATGACAGCAGCTATGGCACAGCCATTGGAGAGATCCTTCACTTCCTTTACCACAGGAAAACAGGGCTTGAGCTTAGACAGCATCTTATCCTTCCTGTACCGGAGCTGCATGAGACAAGAGGGGGTGATTGGTGGGAGTTGTTGGGCATGCATGCTCAAATGACGTTTGTTTGTGTTGATGTGGTTTTAATATGATTCAAATTTATCTTTTTTGTGAACCCTACATGGAGGGTGAAAAACATGAATAAATAACAAAAACAGGCATGAGGAATAATACAAAATAATGGAATGTCTATATATACCCCCAAATAAACACTTACCTACAGCACTGTGCAAAAGTCAGAGAACACCCTCTTTATTTACTGTTCAGTCAAAATTATTTACAAATTAATCTTTTCTGTGTCAGAAAAAAACAGAAAAACATATACTTTACAGAAAACCACAAAAAGGCTCAACAATTAAATGTGATATCAAATTTACTGGTATATAATTTGCCCACTCTTTACTTCTGTGCACTCTAAAGCCATTTTGAACTTTTCCATCCCTCCAATCTTAAAACCAATAAGTTACAGCTGCATCCTCCTAATAAAAGCTGTTTCCAAAGGTGTCACAAAACTGTCACCGTCAGATGGTCAGTACTCAAAGCAGTAGAAAATCTGCACTAGAACACTGAACCTGGACATTTGAGATGTGGAGTTAAGTTTTATGGTCTGACGAGTCTAAATTTGTAATCAGGATCATTTCAATCCTGGGAAGTAGAAAATACAACCAACTCCTAACACCGAACTTTACAAATGTTCACAAGAATAATATCTCTACAGATGTCTTTGAAAAACTGAAAGCACGTCTCCAGAAGAAATGGAAACTGATAAAGTCAAAGGTTGGACAAAAATACGTTGAGGTTTCTGTGTAATTTCTGTTACATATATGCTTTCTTCTTCTTTCCTTATACTGAAAAAGAAATAACTTGTACTTAATGCCTGTTTTGACTGGACATTAAATAAATGAAAGGGTGGTCTCTGACTTTTGCACACTACTGTACTTGAAAAGAAAGGCGGAGAGAGTACGAGAGAAAGAGAAACCATGCAAGCCACTGCAGCCAAACATGGTGAGAATGAAGCAAACCGACGAAATGAGGAACAGCGAAGACATTGTTATAGGAAAGTGGGACAGCAGAGACTCAGGAGAGAAGTCTCAGAAACTCCGACAGGTCACAGCGCTGAACAGAGGCAGCTGTGTGAACGGCCAACACCTGATACGCCACCGGAGCCTGGTTTATCTAACATTACTCTAATCTCTGTCTCACACCCACGTCAAGCCAATATAAACATGTCTCATTCATGCTGTGCCATTGCCAGGTTATGTTGGATTCTCTGAGTCTTGCAGTCTGTAATTCACCAAACATCTTGTAAATAGTTGACATGTAAACAGTTCCGGGCCACTATGATCAGCATGCTTTTGGTCGCCTACCAGAGAAAGCTCTGCATCCCATCATTAATTAGAATTTCTCCTGCCTTGTTTGCACATATGGCACTTTCTTTTCGAAATAAGGCAGTTAGTAGAACTGCTGCTACCAAACTTGCACATATTTAACCATAAATCTGTAGTTGGTATAGTGTGGCTGGCGTTGGTGAACCGCGACTATTAGAGCTAGGCCTTAAGTTCAGGCCATAAATGTCAAAAATCTGTCAAAAAATAAATAAATAAATTCACACATCTCTTCGATAATGCTAGTTTATGCTAGCAACCCTATGGGTTTCTAGTAGCAAGTTAACACAAACAGAGATTCACATTTAGCTGGTAAAAGACACTGAGTTTTATTTAAAGCTTGTAAATGACATATTAAAACAGATTTTAGCTGGTATGTAGCAGTTTCGAAGCAACTCTTTCAGTAAAGAACACTGGCATTCGACTGCTGTTGGTTTCCAACATCTGACTGAAACACACTGGCTAGACTACCACTCATAATCGCAGTCAGTGACTTATCTTGAACTCCCAGAAGGCCTAGAATGATATTGCTTCTCACAGAACTGCTCCCACACACTGGAAATCAAATATGGTTGATTCCTATTTATGTTGGTTCCTATTTCTGTTAGCAGTCCATCTGACACATTAGGCCTTCAGTTCAGCTCCTGAAGTCCTATCTAATGGAAAAGCTAGCCTGGCTGTATCTACCTAGATAACACAGAGAAGAAAAGAATCCTGATTGGCTAATTTCTCAGTTATGATTTCAAGACTTTCCCATTGTTTCTGATGAAAACTTAATAATAAAAGAAAAGCAGTACTTCAACAGTGCTGCTATTTAAACACAACAAAATGACGATTACATTAAACTCAAAATTATAGATTTTTTTTCTCAGAAATCAAGGCACTGAGGGTTCCCTGACTAGTAGTGGGAAACATCATTGCTTTCCATGCAGCACACTGGGGTTCAATTCTCTATTCGGGCATGCACACCACTGCTATAGCGATGACTGTCCTTAGGCAAGATTCCCACTACATTCACCTGCCTCTGTAACATGACTAAACTGTGAGTGATTCTTGATAAGAGATTAATGTAAACATGTATTACTATTTGTATTCTGTACTTCCTGTTGGTCCCATTGTATATATTCTTTGCTTTAAGTCTGTATTTGTTTGTCTCGTTTTAAAATGGTGCCAATAAGGGACCACAAACTAATTCGGTAACTAATGCCTTTCTCTCCACAATTCATTGAGACACAGATCAGAATTGATACATTTGCTGGCAGGATTAAAATGTATTGGTTTATTGTTTCTGAGCTACAGTATGCTTGTAATCTGGATTAAGCCACTGTAGATAAGCAAATCAGCCAATTAAAAAAAATACGTTACACAAATATGTTTCAAATGCACGCTTCTAAACCTAGTAGCCTTGAGTTCTCTTGCCTGCTACATCCACAAGCTATTGAGGTCACCAAACTGAAAAAGGGCCACAGAACAGAGCACCATTTGAGAGAGATCTTAAGAATTTCTATTGTACTGTGTTTCTATTATACTCAGTGCAAATGTAAAAGAATTTGACTTAACGACTGAATTTAAGCCATGCCTTTTAGAAATCTACTACTGTAGCTGCACGATGTAAGGCGCTGCCTTGAAGTACAGTGTTAGATCTAGACCTCTGCCTAACCTTTCTGCTCTACTGCTAATGCTGAATGACATCAGCACTGTGAAGGAGTGTGTCTGGTTTAAGAGAGGAGAGAAGCTCGCTAATGTTACAGACTGCTGTGCATCATGCCAGCAGGGGGCAAAAGAGGACAGTCACACTTGATACTAAGACAGGAAAATGGAGGAAAAGAGGGATGGAATGGAAGACAAAGTGAGAGAAAGAGACTTACAGGAACAAGTTTCCAGTACCAGCGGGTGGGACACTGTTAGAGACGAGTGGAGGGGGGGTATGAAGAGAAAACGGGAGCGAAGAAGGGAGAGCAAAGAGGAGAGGTAGTAAGTACACCGCAGTGGAAGTTTTGAGGGAGAGGACGGCACTGTCCAGAAAGAATTCTGCATATGTGTGTCTGAATGTCTTACCGAGGGCTGAACAGGCTGTGGCTCAGCGCTAGGCTGGGTTTGGTCATTCTCTGTCCTTTCCTTCAGCTTCTGATTTAACTGTTGAGGGAAAAAAAACAAAAAACAACTGTTATTACGTTTCAACATATAAGGCACTTTCTGATGATCTGCTTTCTGAAGCAGCACCCAGGAGAGCATGATATTATTTCTGGCCAAGAGAAATCATTTTCTCCATTAGGATACAGCCTTTGATAAAAGTTTGTAACCCAGATAGTAATGCATTAGCTGACCACTCTCATATCCATGATGGAACTAAGAAGCCGACAGGGCTTTCACAGTTACCACGTTTTTCCAAGACTGACTGTAGTAAAAGAAACAGTATTACGCAAAAGTCCACTGTTGGAGTGGAATTTCCCCGAGACCGTGCCCTGAACTCTTTGCTTTCAATATTTAGGCCCCGTGTAAGTACAATTTTAACTTTATGTTTATTTCTATCGTTGTTTAACCCTCTGGGTCTTTTCTTTATTTTTGCATATATTCTTAAATTGCATATAACATGATATCCATATGTTTCATATCCAAATGCTCCCTTATCTTTGTTGCTACTTTCCAAAGCTGCTAGATCAATTTCAGTGGCTTTTTGCATGCCATTTCACATGTGTCTCCAGTGTCGACTGAATTAAGAATAAAGCGTCTCCAACATGATGGATAAATTTGATTTGTGTGTCTGTTGGTCCATTTCACACGAAATGTTGATGGACACACGAATCCGCCAACTACACACGGCGAGAGGCAGATCACGTGTATCTTAGCCCCTCTTCATAGCCTCATATCTCCAGATGTGAGTCACGTACGATCTCATAAGATGGAATAAGATGTTTAGGTGCTGTAGCATCACAAGGATAGAGAAACAGAAAACATCAAATTTGACATGCAGTTCATGGTCCTCAGAGGGTTAAAATATGTCTGACAGTATTTTATTTATTTATTTCTCAGTAAGCTGATATGGATACTTGGGTTTGGGCTGTTACCATGATGATACTGCATAGTCCACCACTGTTTCGTGAAGAAAAACTATTTTGAGGATGTGAAAACTCATGACACTTTGACGTCACAGCTATGTACATATTTAACAAAACATTACACAGAAGGCTTAACAATGAAATAAGATAATATCAAAATTTTCCACATCTCCAAAGTTCCGTCTAAAGCCGCAGTCAGAACACAAGAACGTGAAAAATCTATTCACTTCTGACAGCATTATTCTTCACTGTGCGCCAAGATCATCTAGGTAAAATTTAACCCTGTGAATTTGCGAACCACTGAAGCTTCAGCCAATAGGAAACAAGAGGGCGAGCTGTGACGTCTTCTTTCTGAAAAGAATATTAAACTGAGAAATTCCTCAGTCACAGCTGCAAAAAACAAACTAGTTACCCAGCTAACATTAACCGTTTACTGATCGATACATTCTCTCCAAAATCACCTTGATCAGTACTGTCTGTACTCACCTGATTGTTGCTCCACCCCCATAAAGAAAATACCTGGGCAGCAGTCCATTGTGACTGTGGCTTTAGAAGTTGGGCAAAATTTCTGCTTCTCATTATCCAAGTAATCCCAAGCACATTCAGTTATATTGAAATCTGGACTCTGAGGTAGTCAGTCCATCGTTCTAAGAATACAAGTAGCATCTTTGTTTGATTTGTAAATTTTCTTTACTTTGGTCTTTTTTTTTCCCCTCAGTGAGGCTTCTTGACAGCTACACATTCTTTCAGACCCATGGTGCTGAGTTGTCTTCTCACAGTGGAAGAAAGGACAGAAATAACAGTGGATTTTTCAGCAAATCTCCAAGATGACAGCTTTAAGTACTTGTAACAGCCATTTTGACTGGGAATTAAATGAAGGGTGGAGGTCACATCTGCCCAGTACTGTTGGTAACAGGGGAAAATATCTGAAAACATGGGATATATCGGATAGCGTTATATACAGTATTACACTAAGTTGGCTTCTCACTCTCTAACCAGTGACTAGCAAGGTAACACCATCCTGGAACCAAAAACCTTGGTAAGTATGATGCAATGCTACATCAAAGACTAAACAAACAGTGTATGTGCTTCAGTCATGCTGTTGTTTCTGTCATAATGCATGTTGCAATAAACTGAAACAAATAGCATGGCTAAGTATGATTATACAGCCTTGCCCTAATCATGTATAGGCCTGGGTGCGGTCGAAACATGACTGTATGCGTGAGGTGTTCCCTGTTGTACAAACTGAATTTCTTTATTAAAATTGGTAATAGTTGTAAAATAAAACACATATACGAGGTGATCTGAGGTTGCACAACACTGGTTGTCTGGTTCAGATATACTGACCACAAAAAATGGTTTGTTGGTTGTTGGATTGGGGCCCTCTGCAGGATTCAGTTAGGCTGGATGTGCTGTATGAGGTTATCTGTGTTGCCTGAACGTGTGCATGAGGAATGGAAAGGATGTATACTGATATATGAGGCTGTGTGGGCACTATACGTGTTGTGAGTCAGGTTATGTGTTAGAAAAGAGGTCTTCAAATCTAGGCCTTGCATCCAGTTTCCAGGTCCTGGATTTTGTAAACACTGGTAGGTCTAGTTGTAGGTGGCCAAACAGCTCCATCAGCAGTTCAATTAACCACCAGTGTTTACAAAATACAGACTGGAAACTGGATTCAAGGTCCAGATTTAAAGACCTCTGTCTCTGACTATTTATTGAAGCTGTGTACAGTAATTATTTGTATTTGTGGCAAAACAAAATAACACAAATTTCCCTTAACCTAAATGTAGCCTGATAGGCCAAAACATGTTTGCTGTCTGAAATTTGCTTCTTCACTTTTGCACTGGAGCTTTAAGGCTGATGTAGTGAACATGCAACAGAAGCTTATATTCACTGGTTAACAATGTGTAAAGCGCCTAATGCATACATTATAGTGTCATAATATGACAGTGACATAACAGGGTAATATTACCTTTACAGGTAATTATCATGACAGATTCTATAATGTCTGAAGTCATGACAGATTATGTCACATGCAACTTTTTGCTAAATGTACTCTATTTCGCCCTGATGACATCAAACATCATAACTTTAGTCTTGACAATTACTGGTAATGGTAACATAACGGTGAACACAATCTCTCATGACAACTCATGACAGCATGTGACATATGCCATGACATGTTTATGGCACAGTTATGTCAAAGTTATGTATCAGTATTCAAATATAACATTAGCTGGAATTTGCTTATGCTGTCTCTGACACTGTATGACAGTGTCATCTATGAAAATAGACAAAAGTATGATGCATGTGTATAGCATTCATTGATAACTGAACTGTTACTTGTAGCTACATTAGCCTCATAGCTCCTGTGTAGAACTGAAGAAGCTTCAGACACCAAATCATGTCTTGTGAACAATCGTGGGGGAGGAAATTGTGTATATTTGATTTTCACTCTAAAGTTGAGTATGTTATCTCCATGCGCTGCTGTATGAATCTGTTTACAGTTGCACACTCACCGTGTTGACCCAGTGCAGCAGGGCACTCTCCCAGTCAGCCTCTCCCTCGATCAGATCTGCTCCTCCACTCGCCCGCACCGTGCTCAACGTCTCCATGGCACCCACTGCCATCAGCACGTCTATCAAAGCCAAGTGGGCAGTCTGCACCAATCACAGAGGAGAAGAGCAACTGTCAGAGGGCGAACGAAACCCAGCCACCATTAAGACCAGCCTCATTCAATAATGCAGTCCAGTGACATTTACAGCAGTCTGACAGCATCGCAGAGGCTAATGGAGGAAGCCTGGAGAGAATCTCTGTGACGGGAAGAATCAGAAGTGGCTCTGAGGCGCTGGTGTGCCATTTGAACAAACCTGTTATCTGCATGAGATTTAGGTGAAACAGTGACTTACAGGGCAGAACAGATATGAAAACTGTCACTGATATCAATTTTAAGAAGTACAAATTCTGATAACCGATAATAATCTGATAATCAACCAGGATAATTTGACTGGTGATGCCCCAAAGTGAAACGTCTGCACCAAAAAATGAAACAAACAAATAAACAACAAATAAAATCATTAAACAAAAAACAAACTAAATTTGTTACAGTATGTAGGCTACAGTTTGTGCTCCAAACAACCTTGACAACAGAAAAAAGTTGGTCATCGAAAGCGAATGATTTAGATTTTGTTTTTTTGGTTATGCTTTGCACTTTGGCACTGCTGTTTGTGAATTTTTTTGCCATTTCAAAACTGTAGCTACACACAGCATTAGCATGCAAGCAGGGACTTTCGCTTCTGCCTCTGTTGTTTCGCTGTATTCTGTGTATCAAGTGGAATTGTGTGTTCTCAAGTGGTATCAAACCTGTAGTGGAGATGTTCTCGGGTTGTGTACCTCATCTTGGTATTTGACATGAACAGCAGTAACAAATTATTTGTCTAATGTCCCTTATAGGAAATGTGAAATAATTACATATGGCTGACATTTTCACTATTGATCTGCTACTGATCAAACTGTTCGAACCTGTCTGCACTGACCAGCGCCAGAAAGCATTTATTTAACGTTATTTGTAAAGACTTGTATTTTGACATTCGTTGTATGCCTACTTAATCTTTGTGCTATTTGGTCAAAATTTTTAGATTACAGCAAACATTCTGAAAATATTCTGAAACTACCAATTCTGTTAACTTATTTTCATATAGAAAAATCGACAAAATCTAGTTTAACCAGGGTGCCCAAACTTTTGCATGTGACTGTGTATATCCGCTGATGCCAATATATAAACATTTATAAAACATACAAATTAGGACCATATCTACCTGGATTAGCATTACTGAGAAACAAAATTTATTTCTATTTATTTATAAGGGGGTTATACATGCAGTAAAATGAATAAAACAAAAGACATTTTAGTGCAGTAGCCCTGCATCGCTTAAATGTTCTGCCTGCAAATGTTCAAAATTAAATGTATGCTGATACGAATATGATTCCGATATTATTGAGCATCCCCATTTTATATGGTCAAAAATGAAAGATTCATACAGTTTTTACAGAATGATATCCCGATTCCCAGGTCCTAATTGTCCAATTTTACTGACATTATATTGGTTTTCCAATAACAAAAGGCAAAGTTGACCTGCATTTTTTCAGATCAGTAAAAAAAAAACCTATTGTTGATTATGCACCAATAACTGTCGACTTTTTTGGTTGCAGCATCATCAGGATTCTAGCTCAAGACATCCAGGTGACAGACTGAAACCTTTGAGTCACCCTCTGTTTAATGATGTTGCAGCAATACAGGCAGAAAAAATAAATCTAAACACAAAACACCATCATGGTTAAGACAGCAAGGTTATGACAGCATGAGACTAACGTCATTAAACAAACTGCTTTTTGGTATGAAGCAAACAACATGGAAAAATAAGGAAAAAAAAGAAAGTAATAAATGGAAACAAAACCTTCAAAAAACTTTTGGGTAGACCTGCCCTAGTGCTACTTCTTGTTTTGAGTTTAAGAAGAAGTGTAACAATTGAGAAAGCACAATCAATTCAATCACTAAAGCACTGTCTAACTAAAACTACTGGAGTATAAAATTAAAATATGAACATCAAATTTGATCAAAATTTAAAATCAGTATAAGCCAGAAAATTTTCATATTTTCAGGCCCTAATTCTAATATAAATCAAGCAAACAATCCATGAGATTTTTGCCTGTAAAGACCAATACCTGAAACTCTAATTCTGGGTGATTTTATCAGCCATGTGATATCGGTTGGGCCAAGTAAATCACAGAGTGATGGACAGATGGACAGAGAAACAGACAGACACAAATGTGCTTCTGTTTGTGTGCTGTGTTTTGCTGTATAATACAGTCTGAAACAGCTGCAGTGAGTCACACTCTGGAACAGATCAATATTGAATATGCAGTCTGCACTTTTTCCCTTTCCCTCTGCCCGAGTTAAAGCAGGACACTCCTCTCCTCCTGCCTCAACTTCCCCTCTCTCTCTGATATATTGCAGCATGACTCACGCGTTGGAACCAACACAACCCAACCATGTAAATGAACTCACTGGGGAATGTACCCTGTTCTACAGACCTCGCATCCACATCTGCGCTCTATGTGCGTCTCCAGAGTGCAGCCGAATCAGAGCGTAGGCGAACAAAGTATCCATCATAACCCCTTCCTTCCTAACATCATCAACGCAGCCATTTCAAATATACGCCAGGAGCAGCATTTCCGGCTCCCGTCCAAAAACAGAGGAGAGAGATGTGAAGGACCTCCTGCATCCTGAAGCCATTAGTTCTCCTCCTCTCATCCTCCCAGCCCATTAAAAACAACCCGCCAACATTAGCAGCTCAGCCAGGGAGAGCTCCTTAGTGCTGATAAGAGGGTTAGGTCATTACCCACAGCCTCCGCTTACACCAGGAGCCACTTTCTACACCTGCTCACCCTGATGCACTGACATTGCTACTGTTACTAGTTCTACGGTTATAACTGCTACTACTGTTACTACCACCAGCACTATCACCGTTACTATCACTGTTACTAACACCACTCTTGATACTGTTACTACTGCTACACCCCCACTGTTACTACAATTACTGCTGCTGCTGTTACTAGGACTACTTTTGCTACTGCTACAAGCACCACTGTTAACAGTTACAGCTGCTGCTAGAGCTACTACCATGCTAGCATTGTTAGCATTACTATTACTACTGTTACTACCTCTACTGTTACAAGAACCACTGTTATTGTCACTACTACCACTGTTACTACTGCTACTTTTACTACTCCTGTTACTACAACTACTGTTATTGTAACAGTAGTTGTAGCAACAGTTACTGCTCCTATTGTTAGCTTTACTATTACTACTGTCACTACCTCTACTGTTATTGGCACAACTTTTACTACTGCTAGTATGACCACTGTTAATTACTGTTAATTACACCACTATAATTACTACAGCTACTACCACTGTTACTACTGCTACTTTTATTACTACCACTGTTACTATCACCATTGTTACTACTGTTACTACAATTACTACTGCTACTACTACTCACTACTAATACCGTTACTACCACTACTGTTACTACCAGTGTTACTTCTGCTACTACCACCACTGTTACACCTGCTACTGTTTCTACAAATACTGTTGCTGCTCCTGTTGCTAGAGTTACTACTGTTACTACTACTGTTTATGCTACTGTTACTACTACTACTGTTACTAGCACTAGTGTTATTTTTACTAGTACTACTGTTACTACAGCTACTACCACCGTTACTGCTGCTACTTTTATTACTACCACTGTTACTACCACTATTGTTACTACTATTACTACAATTACTACTGCTACTACTTACTACCACTACTGTTACTACCAGTGTTACTTCTGCTACTACCACCACTGTTACACCTGCTACTGTTTCTACAAATACTGTTGCTGCTCCTGTTGCTAGAGTTATTACTGTTACTACTACTGTTTATGCTACTGTTACTACTACTACTACTACTGTTACTAGCACTAGTGTTATGGTTACTAGTACTACTGTTACTACAGCTACTACCACTGTTACTACTGCTACTTTTATTACTACCACTGTTATTACCACTATTATTACTACTGTTACTACAATTACTACTGCTACTACTTACTACTAATACTGTTACTACCAGTGTTACTTCTGCTACTACTACTACCACCTCTGTTACACCTGCTACTGTTTCTACAAATACTGTTACTACTCCTATTGCTAGAGTTATTACTGTTCATGCTACTGTTACTACTACTACTACTACTACTACTACAACTACTACTACTACTACTACTACTTCTATATTATACAGTTGTGTTTCTATTATATTTAAATATATATTTGGCAGCTTCACAAAAGTCTTTAAGTAGAATAGCACATCTCAAAGTGCTGTTCTCAGAACAAAGGACACATCACTGCAGAATGAATGAAAACATCACTGAATATGTTTGGGATTACCTGAGTTGTGAGAAGCAGAAAACTTCTAAGACTGACCTGAAAAATATCCCTGCAGATTTCTATGAAAACTGAAAGCAAGTCTCCCAAAAAGAACAGAAGCTGTAATAAAGGCTTTTTTGTGCAGGCACACTAAGTGCCTTATACTGTATATCATCATATTGCCCACCTGTTACTACTACTACTACTACTACTGTTATTACTACTACTTGCATCATTAGCCACTTTCTACACCCCTGATCAACCCTGTCTTAATGACACTGCTACTACTTTCACTGCTATCGCACTTACTACCCTTACTACTGTTTCTGTAATAGACACCAAGTTACACTCTGTGGGGCCAGGACAATGGAAGATGTGAGGTCACTCAAGTGCTTCAGACACTGGAGGAACCTTTGACCTAATGAGGGAGTGAAAGCCGCCTGAGCGCACACTGGCTGGACAGAGGCCAGACCTTGCACTTGGAGCATTTGTTTAAGTAAACTGTACTGATCTAGGATCATCTTATAATCTTTTAGATACCAACATAGCATACAGTGCAGATGTATTCCGGCAGTGTAGGTCACAACACAGAATTTCTTAGTTAGAAACTGACTCACAAATGTTAAACTACAAACAGAACCACAACCAAATACAGCCTTAGACCAGCCCTCTTAATGTGAGTCATTGC